TTATATCTGTTCAATGATTCTTACAGTATATGCACATCTAGATGATCCCCTTGTCATCTTACAAGATCCCCTTATTTCTATTCAATGAAACTATAGCATATGTAAAATTAGATGATCCCCTGGTCATCTTACGTTATCCCCTTATATCCCTTCCATAATAAGAAAGAGTTCATGTACATTTAGATGATCCCCTTGACAGCTTACATGATAACCATATATGTGTTCCATAATAAGAAAGAATAAATGTACATGTAGATGATCCCCTGCTCATTTTCGTGACCCCTTTATTTCTGTTCAATGGATACTATAGTAAATGTAAATATAGTTGATCCCCTTGTCATCTTTCGTGATCTCCATATATCCTTTCCATCATTAGAAAGAGTAGATACATGTAGATAATCCCCTGGTCATCTTACGTGATCCCCTGATATCTGTTCAATGAATCTTATACTATATGCACATTTAGACGATCCCCTGGTCATCTTACGTGATCCCCTTAATTATTTCTGTTCAATAAAAACTATAGCATATGTAAAATTAGATGAAGCCCTGGTCATCTTACATGATCCACTTATATCTGTTCAATGCAAAATATAGTATATGTACATATAGATGGCCCACTGGTCATCTTACGTGATCCCCTTATATCTGTTCAATGAAAAGTACGGTATATGTACATTAAGATGATTCCCTGGTCAACTTACGTGATCACCTGATATCTGTTCAATGAAAACTATAGTATATGTAAAAATAGATGACAAACTTGTCATATTACGTGATCTCCTTATATCTGTTCAATGAATACTAAAGTATTTGTACATAAAGATGATCTCCTGGTCAGCTTACATGATACCCATATATCTGTTCCGTAATAAGAAAGAATAAATTTACATGTAGATGATACCTTTGTCATCTAACGTGATCGGTATCCCTTTATTTCTGTTCAATGAATATTATAGTATGTGCACATCTAGATGATCCCCTTGTCTGCTTACATGATACCCATATATCTGTTCCATAATAAGAAAGAATAAATGTACATGTAGATGATCCCCTGCTCATCTCACGTGATCACTTTATTTCTGTTCAATGAATGCTATAGTATATGTACATATAGACGATCCCTTTGTCATTTTACGTGATCCCTTTATTTCTATTCAATGGATACTATAGTAAATGTAAATATGGTTGATCCCCTTGTCATCTTTCGTGATCTCCATATATCCGTTCCATAATTAGAAAGAATATATGTACATGTAGATGATCCCCTGGTCATCTTATGTGATCCCCTTATATCTGCTCAATGAATACTATAGTATATGTACATCTAAATGATCCCCTGGTCATCTTACGTGATCCCCTGATATCTGTTCAATGAATCTTATACTGTATGCACATCTAGACGATCCCCTGGTCATCTTACGTGATCCCCTTATTTCTGATCAATAAAAACTATAGCATATGTAAAATTAGATGATCCCCTGGTCATCTTACGTTATCCCCTTATATCCCTTCCATAATAAGAAAGAGGACGTGTATATCTAGATGATCGCCTGGTCACCTACGTGATCCAATGATATCAGTTCAATGAAAATTATTTTATGTGTACAAGTAGATGATCCCCTGGTCATCAAGTACGTGACCCGCTGATATCTGTTCAATGAAAAGTATAGTATATGTACATGGTCATCTTACGTGATCGCGTTGTATCTGTTCAATGAAAACTATATAGTATAAACTTGGTCCTCTTATAATGTGATTCCTAATATATTTTTCATATGAACAAAACTATACATTGTATGTATATTCAGATGATTCTTGATATCCTCACATAGGTTCATATGCTGATTAAATCATTTGGCATATGAATGAAAGCACCATTATTGCACGACTTAACACTTTAAAGCCTTTTTCCATTTTTATAAGACATTCGTGTATATTTATTAGGGGGGTTAAGCATATGCACTTACATACAGTAACACTGATCATTTCCACAGATTTATAGTCTATTTTAATCATGATGATAACGCTTTATAAGAAATTCGTGCTTTATTTATAGGCGGGGCTAAATATGCAAAGTGTACGCTTACTCGATCCCTTTTTCCGTTTACCTTACATTTTACAAAGCCAGGTCTAATATAAATTCGCAGTAAGTAACAGAAATATGGATGGATGGTTGGACTTTTTCTCCTACAAGAATTGTTTGTTTTTATTATTAAAACAAGCGATCATTCATATCTTTTTAATAAAATGAATTCATATCACCGTCATTTAACCTTGATTGGCGGACTTATTTTTAAGCTCAAGACTTCTTGTTTTTAATGAGAAATTCCCTCTAAATGGGGCTCTCAATGGGGGAAACAGATTTTAATATTAACGTTAAAATTATGGAAATTTCGTTTTACCTTGTTTTAAAGCATAAAATGAAAAGAAAATTTGTCTGTTTGTTGTGTAAGATGTAATTTTATTTCATCTCGTGAACTTTAAAAACAGTATTCTCACTCTTGGCTACGCCACTTGTGAGAATACTGTTTTTAAAGCCCACTCGATGAAATAAAATTTCATCTTACACACAAACAAACAAATATCCTCTATATATCATACAATTCCTTAATAAGTAAAAATGCAGTTATTTTGTAACGTAAACAGAAACAAATAAATTGGTGGTGTTCAACCTACCATCGGAAAAGAACCACTGCGCATGCGTCGGCGTTTGGAAAATCCTGTTCGCCATTTTGTTAATCTCTAATCACATATGTTGTTTTTACATTATTTTTAATATGCTTATTTATCAAAAAGGATTTAAAAGTAACTTTTTACATTTATCAGCGTTACTAGTATAGTTCTTATGAATGAAATGAATGTTTATTTTCTGATTTTGTACATCATTCTTTCACCGGAAGAGTTATTAAACATGCGTCTGCTAGCAATAGTCTGAATTATGTAGACGCTCATTAAAAGCACTGTGATATCTATATTTAGCCCAAAAGGATTTCAAAATGGCGGCGCCCAGTTAACTAAGGATTTTTTCACAGCTCATTAGGTATAGGATATATATTTTTTGAAATTTTTATTTACGTTTAATTTGATTTCATTTGAATTTATACGCCTCATACATGTTATCTAAGAGCGCTGCAGCCCTCGCGGGCCTTTGGCCCCGCTCAGTCTTTCCGCGTATAAATTAGAGAAAAAATATTTTATTGGAGTATTTAATTTAGATGTTTTATACATGAGTATGTTTATGATTAATTGATATAGATTAGATAAAAAAAATATTTTTAGCAAATAAGTATGCTTTTTAATGTGTTTATAATTTACTTGATTAGGATAATCATTCAATTTTAATTATTGGGTGAGTTTTTTTTATAAATAAGAAAAAAAAATATAAGAAAAAAATGATTTATAAATTTTAATTGCTAAATTCCATACTTTTGTATAATGAAGAAAGGAGTTCAAACTTCAATACACATGCGCGTTAAGTTTGCTGTCAGAGATAATTTAGGTGTTTATTAATTCATTATTCAAGAATCAAGGTGTTGATTAGATTAAAATACATGGAGCTGTGAAAAGGTGTTAAAACAAATATTACGTGAGAATATATTTAATTTTTTGAAAAAAACTGGGTAGTACTCAAAATATGAGTGAAACCCCTTTTTTAAATCCCCTCTTAGAATAGACACTGGCTTAAGCTATAGTAGTCCAAATATTTAGACGTAAACCTCGGATTTGAAGTTATTTTTTACATTGGTAAATTAAAATCCGCTTCAAAGTCTAAAGATATCTATTTAAAGCAATATCCATAGCAAAATGAAAAACAATAAACATGCACAAGCAGCCAAAATACCGCCATATTGAATTCCTGGAGGTACATCAACAAAAAAGACTAAACATTTTTGAAATTTTTACTGCGTGCACCTTTCAGCGTCTTAGATAACAACAGAAAAAAATTTCAATCAAACTAATTTCGTACTATTGTTTTTGAGTGGCGTCACAGCATGACAGGGTATTTCCAATATGGGGGTCAACTCAAAATGTCTTTCATGTGTCTTCTTAAATATATGGATAAATAAACTACGATAATATCGTGAGTAATTTTTGCATATTTTTACAGTTTTTGGGAAAATAATTATGCTTCCGTCTTTTATGCAATCAGTTGGTTTTTGTGATAAATAGCATTTAAGTTGTTATTTACCGGTAAATTCAAATCGACTCAAGAAGCATGTCGATTTGTGCTATAGGAAATAAGCCAAATAGGGAAAGACTTATTGTTCAGCTTATTGACTTTCTTGAAACTTATTGAAGTTGCCTTCTTTAAATCTGAAATCAAATGGGAAGTGATGCTTATTATTTTTTGAGTTATTGCCCTTTGTTAGTTTTCATATTTCATTTTTGTCCTGGCCATTTCTCCTAAACTATTTTGTTCACAAGGCGACACATCCGACTCGCGGAGTTCTAGTTATGATTTACAGAAGTTTTTATTGTTACTAATTATTATAACTTGTTAAACATGTATCGTATGATTACTGGAGGTTACGTACCATGGAGGAAACGTACCATTTTTGGAGGTTACTTACCTCAATATATATATATTTTGAAGTATATATGTACCATTAATATATTTTCATCTAATTTCTATAAAATATTTACAGAGTGAATATTTATGGCTTAATAATTCTAATAAAGGCTAAATGAACAAATTAATACATTAATATCACTTATTTCTGAAAAGACATACATGTATCATAATTCTTATCAAAGTAGGATAAGTGGCTCTGAATTTTTTTTTGATCCCTCATCCCTGTGTATCAAAGCTTGGTTTTGACCTAGTGCTGCTAAAGTAAAAAACAATGTATAAGAACAGATAGCATTGATTCATATTATATGACTTAATAAATGTGAGAACAAAAGCATTTCATAGCTAACTTGTCATCAGATTTCATTGCTTTTTAACATACACATTGAAACATGCTTTATTTGTCTTATATGAAATTGTATTTCAGAAATGGTATTAAGATTGAAGATGATAGATTGATAACAGCATAAAGGAATGAAGGCTATCAAGGACCTTGTATCACAGGTGTTCTATACACATGGTCTCCTTTGTGCTAGCCATCCATTCTCCATCCTTGTATCTGTGTGTGCAGTTATTATAATATTATGGTATGTATTTTCCTTCTAATGTGATATAAGGGATAGGGATTAAATCATTCTGTTTCTGGCTTCATAGCTGGAATTAAAGGCTCTTAATGTCACTGTACAATGTTATATTATTAAATTTATTTTGGATTTCAAATGGTATACAACACGGTAGAAACACATAATTTCTGTAATGCTCTAGTGAACCACTTCGCTACTGTGCCTTTTCTCAAGTAAAAAGTATCAACATTCATCCCTAGTGGGATTCAAATGTCTACTACAGGAAGGACAGAGACAAAGTGAATTTTTTGGATACAAATGCTGGTATCAACTTGCTGTTTATGCAAATAAGTGCCAGAATATTTTAGTATACAAATTAGGTGGTTTGAGGTGATTCTGCTGTTTTTAGTCCCCTACCGGTTTACCGGAGGGGACTTTAGGTTTACCCTCCGTCCGTCTGTCTGTCTGTCCGTCCGTCCGTCTGTCCGTCCCTCAGTCCGTCCGTCCATCCACAAAACTGGATCCCGCGATAACGCAAAAAGTACTGAAAATATTTTAATGAAACTTGATATATGGATAGATGGCAGTATGGAGATTATGCACGTCTTTTTCTTTTCTTCCTATGTTGAAAATTCTGGTTGCTATGGCAACAAATAGACTGAAAATATGACAAATTTTACACATAAACTGGATCCCGCGATAACGCAAAAAGTACTGAAAATATTTTTATGAAACTTGATATATGGATAGATGGCAGAATGGAGATTATGCACGTCTTTTTCTTTTCTTCCTATGTTGAAAATTCTGGTTGCTATGGCAACAAATAGACTGAAAATATGGCAAATTTTACACATAACCTGGATCCAGTGATAACACAAAAAGTATTGAAAATATGTTTATGAAACTTGACATATGGGTAGATGGCAGTATGGAAATTATGCACATCCTTTTCTTATCTTCCTATGTTGAAAATTCTGGTTGCTATGGCAACAAATAGACTGAATTTCAAGATTTCTTATTCTAGTTTTTAAGTTTTTTACTATAAGTTCTTTATTTCTTAAGGTATTTTCTTCAAACTTTAAATATAAGTTGCTTGTCATCAACCACATCATATGTGACAAGGTTTACAACTCTAGTACAAAATTTATCAGAATTACCTCCCTTGAACTTAAAATTTTCATGAAAAAACATTGTTTTTTTTAATAACTTCTTTTTCTGAATGTATCTACTTCAAACTTCATATAAATGTTTCTTATTGTCACTCAACATTTGTGAGTGTTCAATACTCTAGCAAGACTATTTCCAGAATTATGCCCCTTTTGAACTTAGACTTTTTTTTGAGAAATTGGTAATTTTTACTCCAACTTCTTCAATCATGATAGGATTTTAAATATGTTATATTTTGATAACAGGGATGTTTAAAAATAACTTTAGAGTGTCCTTCAGTCCGTCTGTCTGTACATAAAAACTGTATCCTGTGATCACTTTTAAAGAACTTTTTCAACAAATTTACTTAAAATTGGAACCTAAGTGAATGGCCCTTCAGAATGTTGCTTGGGCTCTTACCGGTAGGGGACTTATGGATTGCTTGCAATACTATGATAATTGCTTGTTTTAAATGATTTCTGGTTTAATAGTATCCTATGATAAGAAAAATCTTATATTTTTAGCAATTTCAAACAGTCAGGCTGCATAAAAGTTGTCAAAGAAGTGATACAAATTTTGCTTTTGTTTCGTCAATGCTAAATGTGCAATTTGTATAATAATGTTAACTTTTCACACATCTTTTCTTTTAGCTACCCATTGCTGTATGTGCCTCTACCTGGCAACATACCTGGTGAGTATGTTACATCAGTGAAGAATTACAAAGTGCCACCAAAAGCTTTCACCAAGGGAGATAAATCATTTGATACAACAGATATAACAAGCATACCAAGATGGGTAATGAATAATTTTTTAATGTTAGCCATTTTACATATATCAGCATTATAGAGCCAAGCTAGCCTGTTTGTAATATTGTAGTCTGACTAGTCTAACACTTATTACCTGTGTTTATCTTTATTTTTAAGCTCCACTTAAGGCACATTCTGCCTCAGAAACAAATAAATCTTTACTTCTTTAGAAAGGGCAAACTGAAACATGAACTTTATAATGTTTAAATGATGGTTTTAGAGAATGTTAGAAACTTGTTACCTGAAGAAAGTAACAATTTGTCATGAAAGAAGCAAAATGTAAACAAAGTAGTATGTTGACTGCCATACCAAATACTCATTCAGCATAACAGTAATGATTGCCAAAAAGCAACAAATGAAAAAGATGGTTTAGGTAATTGGCCAGTGAGTAATTTTTGGATACTATACATGTAAAAGTACACTAGTAGTAAAAAACATTTGAAAAATAAAGTTGAACGCATTTCTTAGGCAGGCCTTAAAGGGATATTCAGGCAAAATAATGACAACAATATTAAAATGATTTTATGTACTCAAATCAGGCTAAAATGACGTTTCTTGAAGTTTCAGCGTGAATTTCTGTTTGAATTTTATATATTTTGGGTTTGAAACGTAAATATATCTATATATGTTGAACAAAATTTAGACGCCAATAAAATCACCAAATAGTTTTAAAACAAGTCACATGACTTTAACAAACACTTGAGGTTACAATAACAGATATTTTGGATATTGTATTATTGAAACAAGTATATGTCATTCATTTGACATGTTCTTTAACGTTTCCAGAGTTCACTTTGACAAATATTGCGAAATCATAGCGCTCTAACCTGACCCATGCGGGTCAAGTTAGGAAACCACCATTTTATTCTTTATACTAAAAAAAGTTTTGTTCCATTGACTGTCTAATATATTTATTTTAAGGGCATGTACAGAATAATGAATGAAAATTTCAAAACTAAGAAATGAAAATTTTGCCTGTGTCTCCCTTTAACCTATTCATTAAGGTCCATTTTCTCAGAAACTATAAGTTATTCACCTCTAATGTGGTAATCATGTTTATTGTCATGAAAGGATGCCATTTAAAAAGCGGGATAATCTGGAAAAAAAAATGGCACTGTTGTGCCCTTTTTTAACTTAAATTTTTAAACCCTGACTAAAGGGTTCTTTTTGATGTTATAATATTTAATAATGCTAATGCATGTAAAATCTATATGAAAAATAGTTTATATCGTGTAATAAATAGTTAATATCATTTAATTAATTAACAGTACAAGGGTCCATCTCAAGCATATATACAACAGCTGGTAGTCAAGACAACAGTGTCACCATGGGAACCAACTCAACATGATCCTTTAGATGCCTTGTATGCACCACTGACCAAGGTGTTCAAAATCCTGGAAGAAGTGGAGAAGTTAAGACATCAGCATGGGTATAAATTTATTTAATTTTGTTTCCAGAACTTTGTGGTAAATCATTAATTTTGAGTACCGTAATACTAGTATCACGACATTGCTTACATTGGACAGTTAAAACCGTCTAAAACAGAAATTTGTAAAAGTTTTAAGAAAAAACCCAGTGATAGCATGTTATTATTTTGATGTATATATGTTTCAGGGAAGAAGAGAAATCTCTGGTGAATTGTTGTTTGCGTGTATCCGAACCACTGCGTTCTAAATACATTGACAAGTTGTTACCAGAATATGCCTGCCTCGTACTATCTCCAGCTAATCTGTGGCAGAAAAATCTGAACAGGTCTTGTACAAAGTTTTCATCTTTATACTTTACATTGATATTGGTTACAATGACCACTACTACATTAGAATTAAGACCAGGTTTTGCTGATAAAAGTTCTCATAGGATTTATCTAAACTTTTAGAACACCAATTATGATTTTGACTGTTATCATACCACTATGATACCAATGCCTCTTTTGCAACTTTGTAAAAATGGTATTTGACCTGACATCATTTGCGTTATACAAACATAGCCTGAAGACAGACTTAATGTTAATGTTAAACTATAAGTGTGTGCCAATGAAAATTTATTAATTTAACTGTATTAAATCAGCTCTTAATTTGGATATGTGATAAATAAACTATTATATTTGTGTAGCTTCATTACTAAATTAATTGATTTTTTATTTTTCAACATGTCCAATAAATTCAGTATTGAATCTACACTCTTTCAATGTCATTATATTAATATTTCTATACTGACAGTATAGAATCAAGCTAGCCATCATATTATTTACATTTTGTTATAGAATACTCTTAAAATAACAATTGACTGTTCCAAATTCAAAGCAAGAAAAGTCCATTGTACATATGATGCAATAATATTTATTTTTTTACAATTTTATTGACATTTAAATGCTACTAATTGTATTTCCATGAATTGTGCTTTGAGTATGCATGATGGATAAAAAGTTTTCAGGAATATTTCACAACAGGATTTTGGGACACCTTACACCGTTTTTCTCTGTATAAAACTGTAAAAGTCAGTATTGTTAAGATTTATTCATTTCCAACTTTTAGCCATGAATTGTAAATAGTATTGAGGGATCTGCATTAAGTTTTTAATTTTAGTAACATTTATTATTGGTACAGATTTCTGGAAGATAAAGAAGTGTTACGAACCATTTACAAGAGGTATAACCAAGCTCTGGATGCGCCACCTGGTATCAGAGGTATATATTTGCTTATATAATATGCTTCATTTGTGTTTTCTGATCTAACTTTTGACTTCATTTCTTCATTCACTTTAACAATCTATCTTTGTTGATGTTTGTTAATGGAAATACATGTTGGTTAAAATTTATCTTTTCCAGATACATGCAATGTCAAACCAAAAATAACTTATTATGTGCATCCAGTTGTTATCATTTATGTTTTTAGCTCACCTGTCACAAAGTGACAGGGTGAGCTTTTGTGATCGCTTTTCGTCCAGCGTCCGTCCGTCGTCCGTCCGTCGTCCGTAAACTTTTACTTTAAATGACATCTCCTCATAAACCACTAAGCCAATTTCGTCCAAACTTCACAGGAATGTTCCTTTGGTGGTCACCTTTGAAAATTGTTCAAAGAATTTAATTCCATGCAGAACTCTGGTTGCCATGGCAACCAAAAGAAAAAACTTTAAATATCTTCTTCTAAAAAAACCCAAATGCTAGAGCTTAGATATTTGGCATGAAACATCTTGTAGTGAGTGTCTAACAAGTTTGTTCAAATAAAAGCCCTGGGGTCAAAATTGGCCCCGCCCCAGGGGGTCATTGATTTCCCCTATATGCATATAGTAAAAAACTTAAAAAAACTTCTTTTAAAGAACCGAAAGAGCAAGAGCTAAGATATTTAGCATGAAACGTGTTCTAATGGATGTCTACCAAGTTTGTTCAATGAAAAGCCCTGGGGTCAAAATTGGCCCCACCCCGGGGGTCATTGGTTTTCCCTATATGCATATAGTAAAAACTTAAAAAAACTTCTTTTAAAGAACTGAAAGAGCTAGAGCTAAGATATTTAGCATGAAACATGTTCTAATGGATGTCTACCAAGTTTGTTCAAATAAAAGCCCTGTGGTCAAAATTGGCCCCGCCCCGGGGCGTCATTGATTTTCCTTATTTACGTAAAGCAAAAACTTAAAAAATCTTTCTTTAAAAGAACCAAATAGCTAAGGTGTAGATACTAAGCACGAAACATCTTCTAATGAGTGTCTACCAAGTTTGTTCAAATAAAAGCCCTGGGGTCAAAATTGGCCCACCCCGGGGGTCATTCATTTTCCTTATAAGTGTTTAACAAAAACTTAATAAATCTTCTTTGAAAAAACTCAAAAAGCTAAGGTTTAGATATTAAGCACGAAACATCTTCTAGTGAGTGTCTACCAAGTTTGTTCAAATAAAAGCCCTGGGGTCAAAATTGGCCCACTTCGGGGGTCATTCATTTTCCTTATATGTGTATAACAAAAACTTAAAAAATCTTCTTTGAAAAAACCCGAATAGCTAGAGTTTAGATATTAAGCATGGAACATTTGCTAGTTAGTGTTTACAATGATTGTTCAAATAAAAGCCCTGGGGTCAAAACTGGCCCTGCCCCAGGTGTGTCATTGTTTTTAACTACAGTAAAACGTGTATTAAGCGACCGGGCAAGGGAAACACCAAAAACGGTCGCTTAATGAAACGGTCTCTTAAGACAGTCAGCATGATATAAAAGTCAAAATTTATAAATGACATCTTTTTTATTCGATGGGATTGTTTTTTCAACTTCATTTTTATATAAATGTTGAATAATAAGTACGCTCCGATAATCTAAACGGATGCAAATGTAAAAATAACGTTCTGATATTTATTGACAAAACAGTTTTGATCCATTACGTACATGTTTGACATTTTTTCCAGAATTTTTTAACTTCTCCGTTGTTTTTCCTTGTCTCCAACACGAAAACCCTATTAGTGAATATGTTTTCTGTTGTGCATTTTTTCATTTAAAGTAAACAAACTACATGTATTTGTTACGATTAATTTAATGGCTGATCAAGTTCAAGGTCAATTCAATGCAGTCTAAATGTCAACAAGCGAAGCGTATACACCATCTCAGTATGGGCGGAGCGTTGCATTGTTTATCCGATATTATTGGATAATACACGTCACGCGTATACTTAACTTCATTTGCGTACGCTAAAACGGTATGGGAAATAGAGTTTTTCACACGTTTATTGTTGTGTTTTGATTGCTGACACTTGTGACATAACGAGGTGGCGTTCTCTAAAAACACAATTACTTGACAGGTAAAAGTGGTCGTTTAATGAAAAGATTGATGTCAATTAGGTGACTAATTAGCGGTCGCTGGTTGCGTTGAGCAAAAGTCGCTTAATACATTAAAGATATAGAGAGAAAATGATCGGGGGGAATTTAAAGTGGTCGTTTAAGACAAAAGTCGCTTAATACACGTGGTCGCATGGGCTGTAAGTTAGACTGTATATGTGTAAAAAAAAAACTTGAAAAAAATCTTCTTTTAAAAAACGAGCTAGACCTTAGATGTTTAGCATGAAACATCTTCTAATGGGTGTCTACCAAGTTTGTTCAAATAAAAGCCCTGGGGTTTAAACTGGCCCCGCTCCGGGGGCCTATATACAGGTGAGCGACTTCAGGGCCATCATGGCCCTCTTGTTAGTCATTATGTCTCCCAAAATGTTTTCATATTCATTATTGTGTTTGCCTTTACTGTCTGTCCGTCCATCCACATTAAGCTTGTTCGGCCTTCATAGGTCATATTACTGGTTGGATTTCAACCAAACTTTACAGGAGTGATCAGCACCAGTTGTGCACATCACCTGCAAATTCCGCTTGGCTTCTCAAAATGGCCGCCAGAGCTAAAAATAGGAAAATCTTGTCCACCCTTCACAGGTCAAACTACTGGTGGAATTTCAACCAAACTTTTTAGGAGTGATCAGTACCATCCCTAGTTGTGCACATCACAGCCATGTTTGGCTTTGATGCACAAAATGGCTACCAGAGCTAAAATTAGAAAAATCTTGTCCGGCCTTCACAGGTCAAACTACTGATGGGATTGCAACCAAACTTTACAGGAGTGATCAGTACTATCCCTAGTTCTGCACAATACCAGCATGTTTCACTTCGGTGCACAAAATGGCCACCAGAGCTTAAAATAGGAAAATCTTTTCTGTCCTTAACAGGTCAAACTACTGGTGGGATTTCAATGAAACTTCGTATGAGTCACTATACACAGTTTTGGGAGACTTTGTTTTTGTGACAAAAACCCTTGTGGTTAATACTTTATGACCTTGCTACAACATTCAACTTTGTCACTTATTTATTCTAGTAGTAAAAAATTATTTATAAATAACACCCATCTGTTGTAAACTTTTAGATATTATATTGATTTACAGATGTTTTGTTTGGGTTGCCATGGAAACAGACTGGGATATCCAGATATTTTATCAGAAATAGACAGAGGACTATATCATTTGCTATCACACTTGTCCTGAAGAAGTATGATGAAAGGTAAGAGTGATAAAAGCATAAGTACATCTTCCTCTTGTGGTTGAGGGGTTGCCTGTAATGGTTGAGGCATAAGAATTGCAGCCACCCTTAAACCCTATGTTTTGGTAAGAGGGGAATAAATGGGTTTATGCAAAACATGATTTTGAATTACTGGTGTGTATGTGTGTCTTTGCTCCAGCAGGTGAGAAGGTTTTAAGTTTGTAACACCCAAGGTTAGCCAAAATCATCTTTCCTGTTTCGGGGCCATTTGACCTAAATTGTGTTGGTGTGTTGTAAAACCAAACCAAACCAAACAAAATAAAATGACATCTGGGTCAGTGTTTTCCTATGTCTTTAACTGTTTATACTGAAAAATGTGTAATGGAATGTTGTCATATGACTAACAGACAACTACAAAACTATCTGTATAATTAAGGAACAGTTATAATTGGCCATTTATAAAGGTTCTTAAACCTTTTTGGTTTGTCAATATTGTTTTGTTTTGTATATTAGAATATTTTTAAGGTATGTTTTAAAATTATGATATTGTCACTAAAAGATAACATGTAACAATTCTTAAAAAAACTACACCTGATTTATGTATTTATGATTATTTTTTGCAGTTTTGTGGGGAATCTGCGGACAAAGCTGGAAACCGTTTATCCGGATACAGTGTTAAATGTGAACAATTCTCATATAGATCATATTGTACACCTACATTATAAAGATATCAACATCTATTTTGAATACATTCATCTTATAGTCTTGTATCTGGTGCTACTCATGTATCTCTACTTCTCTGTCAGTAAGTATAACCTTTTAGAATGAAATATATATTTTTAGTCAGTCTGTTTCCAAAAAACAAAAAGTCGAGCTATTATGATTGCTGTGATGTCTTCTTTGTTTTCATAGATGTGCAAAAACTTCTATGTAGCTTATTACTCAAACAATTTTAAAGGTATCATTTAAAGGTATCAATATGAAGCTTGGACTGTGCTTAAGAAATAAACATTACTCTTACATGAAAACTAACAAGGACGTTGTTTATTATAAATTGTAGAGAAGATAGAAATGGTAAAGTCCAAGTGGGGTTTGGCATTCAGTGCTGTGGTTACGGTGGTATCGTCATTGTTGATCTCAGTCAGTGTGTGTTCCATATTTGGTCTGAACACGAGACTTAACGGAGGGTAAGCTTTTCTCTTTTAATGTAGGTGTTAACAGATTTATTTCCATTTATTCCTTAATTTATATGAAATCATACAACTTGCACTTTATATTGTATGTGAAATTGATAAAATTTACCAACAATGTAGATTATGACTAGGGCGTCCGTGGCCGAGTGGTTAAGGTCGTTGACTTCAAACCACTTGCCCCTCACTGCTGTGGGTTCGAATCCCGACAGGGACTTTGGATTCTTTCATGTGAGGAAGCTATCCAGCTAGCTTACGAAACGTCGGTGGTTCTACTCCGGTGCCTGTTCATGCCTGAAAAAATGCACGGAAGGGCACCTGAGATCTTCCTCCAGCAGTAAAGCTGGAATGTCGCCATATGACCTATGATATGTCGGTGTGATGTAAAACCCAATCAAAAAAAAAAAAAATATGACTATATATATTGCTGAAATAATAAAAGTTAGTGTTCACAAGGATGGGTATATTTTGAATGATATCTGATTCATAATGATATATAAAGTTATATGTTATTATAATTACATTTACTTTTTGTTTAAGGAAGTTAAGAAAGTATCCTTTTACAACCTGGAATTTTAGTGTACCAAGAAACAAACTTGGACTTATCCTAAAAAAAGGTAAAGATTGAAAAAACGAACACAAGGAATAAAGTTAGCTAAAGATAGCATGGGTATTTATGCAGTTAATTTTATCCTTGTTTATTTCAAACAGGGAGATATTCCCCTATTTGGTAGTGTTGATTGGTGTAGAAAATGTGCTGGTGATGACCAAGTCTGTTGTTTCAACTTCTGTAGAACTGGATGTGAAATATAGAGTTGCTACAGGTATGTTAAATAAGTTTATTGTTAACCGTTTAAATACCATGCTGGAACAGAAAATGATCAGCCTTTGCCACCAGTATAGGGCCAGGCATGTCTGCACATCTATACATTCTGACCATACTCTATACTGTTGACTGACCTAACTTCATATCTTTATTTTGAGACATCTAAAATTGATAATGATTAGTTTCAAAAATGGAAGCTGGACAAGTCCATGTAAGAAATGCACCAGGTTAAGGGTTAAGTAGATATGCTGATGTCAACAGTGGTAGTACCAGTTTTGAGCAAGAGACGCTCTACCGTCCCTGTTGTGTTTCAGTATGTTTATAATACAATCAGCAAAATGAAACTTTGAGAATAAAGAATCTTGTCTATTGAATGAAGTTATTGTGGATAGTGTAGAAATTAATATATATAATGTTAACGCTTTCTCTGCAGAGTTTATGGAACAGTTTTGTCTTTCTTTGATTTTAGAACATTCCATTAAAATTTAAAGGGATTTCAGTTAGAAATTTAAAAAATGTGCTATCAACAGTATAGAGCCTTCTCAGACCGAACAAATGTGCAGTCTGGCTTTGGCAAAGGGAAATCACTTTTCGGTTCAGCATGTTATGGGTTATAAACTGTCAAGTGAATGGATTAGATTTTTTAAGCCAGGCTAAACTTATAAAAGTTAAAACTTTTCATGTATATTAGGCTTACAGTCTTTTGCAGTAGCTTTTTTGCTGCATTCAAAACTTAGCATTAACACTTATAATCTTTAAACACAAGTCTGGACCATTGTGGTTACTGACTTTGAAGTAATATTCCTTTACAGATGATTCTTACCTTGCAATTTTTTAATTGATGCACCAAAGGGCACCTAAGGTTTTTCCAGATCTGTGAAGTTGCAAAGTGGCCTAGTAACGTTGATAACATTGGATTAACCATAAAACTTGAGTTGCGTTTCGTGCGATTGCTTGATTTTTCTATATATACATGCATATTTTAAAATTAATAGCTGAATGTTTCTACATAATACAATAGATCAATATTTCACGAGCCTGTTTCTCTATTCAGGTCTAAGTAAGGAGGGATGGTACATAACGAAGAATCTGCTGATAGAGTTAGTCATCATTATGGTGGGCTTCTTCACCTTTGTACCTGCCATACAGGTCTGTTGTCATTATCATTATCCATAGTTAATTAACTATTTAGATAACAAATTATTGACTCTGTGAGAGGAGAGTTTTACTAGAAATAAAGAAATTTGTTTTAATCTTTTACTGTTTTATTTTTAGGAACATTATTCTTTTGTACTCCGGTATTTAAATTGAGAATTTATTCACAAGGTTTAGAAATTTAGAATTAGTATTTTTGTTCTATACATGTGTGTATATATCTTTTTTTTGATAACCTATTCTCTGCATAGGAAAAGGAAATTTTATTTTTTCTCATATATATGTTTCATTGATATGTTTTATAAAATGATGTCAAGTAAAAAATTTAAAAAGACTGCATGCATAGAGATAAGTAATTAGATAGTAAGGTAAATTATAGTAAAATAGCATTGTTATTCTTGTATTGTAGGAGTTTTGTTTGTTTGCACTAGTTGGCCTGCTCACAGATTTCACGTTACAGATGGTGTTTTTTGTTACAGTACTGTCAGTGGATATCAGGAGAATGGAGGTGATACAGCATTTATATAATTAGCAGTAATTGACTTCAACTCAATTGCCTCTCACCAAAACTGATGTTTTTATCCGCACCAGTACTTTAAATTCTTTAATGTGAGAAAGCTATCCAACTAGCTTAAATTCTACTCAGGTGCCCAACAAAATAAATGAATATATATATATTTAGCTAATATTCACCTTTGTTGTTTTTTTTTTTAATTATAATGATATAAGTTGAATAATTATGATATCTGATTTCAAAACATTTTTAAAAAGCAAGAAACACTTTTTTTTTCAAAATAAAAGCTTGAAAGATGCTATAATTTGAAAATTGAAATTATTCTTTGCTCAACAGAATAACAGTATTTCAAATGAGTATCACATAGCACATTTACTTTGGTAAATCAACTTCTAGTAAATCAACAGTTTTATGAAAATAATTTCAAACACTAAATTGGTTAGTGTTTATTAGCATTTTCTAAATTAGATGGTCTTGACCAATTTAATTTTGTAAATGCTTACTTATAAATAAACACTAACCTATACTTAAAGTGTATAAAGCTAAACATCTGCTGCCTGTAGTTTACAAAATCAGTTTTTGAATTTGGCAACAAAACTTACAAAATACCAGTATGAAAGTAATATGTATTTTTATTCAATTTTACCCATGAAATATGGTGCTATATCAGTCAATTATATTTCATATTTTTTAAAAATAAATATGAAAGTGGGCGGAGTCAAAACTCATATTTATTTTAAGGGACTTCTTTCGCCTGCCGTTTTGTTTAAAAAATCTGATAAATACAAAACAACTTTTTCTTGAATTTTGTTTTAAAAACTATCTAGTATGATAGAAAATGGTCTAAGAAAATTAATCCGAACACCAATATCTTTAATTCAGTAATTAACGCTGTACAGACGTTTAAAGAGTTGTTTACATGATGTCACAATGTAGCACTAAACGCGCGTGCTTACGCATAAATTACTGCGCGCTGTACAATTGCAGTTGGTAGCAAGAAAGAGGATTCGTTACCATTTTCTTTGATAATGAAATTAAATAAAAAGGTTATTTTTTCGTTTTTCGTGAAATATGGAATATATTTTCACTCAACATGATAAAATGCCACATATTTTCACTCGCTGTACGGGCTCGTGAAAATATGTGGCATTTTATCATGTTTCGTGAAAATATATTCCATATTTCACGCAAACGAAAAAATATCCTCTTAATATTCACTTAAGAGCAAATTACACTTGTGAGATATCATTGTTAATTGGAAAAAACTGCTTTAAATAGTAGCATAATATTTTGAACTGGAAACTGTTTATTCAGTTAACATATAATACATACTATGTTACAACTCTTTCAGGAATAACATTATGACTTTAATCTTTTAAAGACACTTAAAGCTAACATAATTGACATTTAATTAAATTAACAGCTTGTAAGAATTTGTAGAATTCAAAGCTTGAAATTTTGAGTGCAGTTTTTATTATGGTGTTTTTTTTCTCTTTTTACAAGAAATATTATGGTTATATTACATTGGTGCCTGCATGCATCTGACATCATCCATAAAAACAGCATTAAAAGTCTTTGTAGTAAAGCTGGAAAGTGATTATATGACTTAACGGTGTTGATATGACTTTAAATCAAATCAAAACAAACAAAAACAAATATGTTGAGGTTTTAGAATAAAGTAATAGAGTTGAACTCTCCATATCTGTCTTTTTTTTCAAATTAAAGCTTAATGAGATTCTGTGCTACAGTATGAAGTATCTAAACATTCCAAATTTATTTTTCATTCCAGTTGTCAGATCTCCATAAACACAAACAGGACACCTCAACACCATCAGATCTTGTACAGTTAGAACCTCTCTTCAAATGCCCATTCAAAACCAGTCTGCCCACAGATCGTGTCAGACTCCAGCCAAGATTTAATCTGTCTACTGGCATGGGAATGATTTCATCCCGAGGGACACCTGTGTCTCCCAGGGTACAGCATGAGGAGAGATTATTCCAGCGTGAATCATTTCTAGATTTACCCCGGAGATTAAGGTTGCTGTATTTCTGGGCCAGTACTAGAGTTGTTCAAAGATTTATCATGGTAAGTGCAAACATTTTATATCTTGTTTTCTCACTTGACAGTATTCAAGTGTGAGTTAAATTTTCAAATTTTTAGAAATAATTTGACCATGAATAAACATAATGTTTGTAAATATGACTTGGTTTAGAGAATAAAGCAAATTAAGAAACCTTAAGTCAGAATTTTGCCTTATTTTGGTGTTATGTGTTGTCCATTGAAATCTGTTTTGTTTGTTAAATGTGACAGTATTACAAATACAGAATTTATTTCTTTGGTTTATATTTATTGTATATGATTTCAGCTGTGTCCGCTTATATGAATTATTCTTCTTGTATATGAGTTTAGGTGTGTTCACTTGTATGGATATTTCTTATTGTATATAATTACAGGTGTGTTCAGTTGTTTGGATTATTCTTATTGTATACAAGACTGGTTTAGTTCATCATATTACCAACACATCATTCAGTATTAATGGTACAGTTATACCAGACTCTGTAGATGACCTGGAACAAATGATCAAATTACAGGTAATGTCTTACGCAATGCCCTAAAACCTACCCCTCCAACACACCCCCACAACCATCTTCCCATTTTAAAGAAAATATGAAGATATATTTAGTAACAAAACAAGGGACCTTTCTACTATTATAGAAAGTTACAAAAGAATCAATGTCTTGTTTCCATTTCTTGGCACATTTATCCATCTGTCTGTTTGACTCCATGCTGTAAACCAGATTTCAGCTAAATGTATTTTGATATGATGGATATATATGTTGGATATATTCACATGCACCAATTGCACTGTAAATATGAAGGAATGTTAGAATAAAGCAGAAATTGTATTAAAGTAACACTGACTTATACAAATGGATTCATAGTGCTTCCATGCTTTTACAAGGTGTGTGTTTAACCTCGGCATTTAATGAAACAGTTACAAGTAAGCAGTCACTTAATCTATTCATGACTATATTTGAATTAGTATCAATGATTTAGTGAATTAGTATGCATAAACATTTATAAAGAGAAGTTGTCACTACTTTATGGTTTCACTTTATCAAATGTGATAGGTGCTTGAAATTGCGTCATTGTAAGAAAATCAGCTTCACTCTTGAAATGATTTTTTTTCAGGAGCAGACAACTACTGCTGATCAGAACAAGATTAATGTATTATCTCCCTTGGCCTATTTTTGGCAACAGGATGATGAGGATTTGGGTTCGGTCAAACATACTGACCTAGAATTATGGAGGAAGCTCTCACATGTACACTGGGTCACCATGTTTAACTATTATAATATCAGTATTGTTGGAAAGTAAGATCATTACTCTTATCCATTTGAAATTTTTAAATGCTTTTTATGCTTTTTGTATTTTGTTCTGTGCATTTAACGTTGTTACATCCTGTATCAATGATTATTCTGTACAATTTAGACTAACCATGTGTTTGATTAATTTCACTTCAATACAGTTCCAGAAGAGCTGTAAATTCATGGAGAAAAAAATATTTTACATACAGTTTGATTTGTTAAGATATGCTTTGGTATTGAAGGAAACTTCGCTCTTTGCATGATTTTTAGATAGGGAGAGATTACTCAGTAAAAAAGATTGTCAACATGTAAGATTTTTTTAAATATTTATATATTTTTGTCTTTTAGATATATCAGCATTTTACCATCCATTCATTTATCCATAATCATTCCACCAGAGGAGGCTATCAGACTGCGTGTCCCTGGATACAAAACCAACTGGCCACAGAATGAGGCAAAAGAGACGCAAATTAGACCAAAGATACCTGAAATCCACCTGCATGAAAAGTCCAGAGACAAAAATGAACCCAAAGAAAAAATCACAATTCAAAGTGAAGAAACTAAAGAACAACCACACGAAAATGGAAATATCCATATTTCTGGTTCTGAGCAATACAGAAAGACAACACAAGAACCAGAATTTTTGTCTGAGGAATATTTGCGGAAGTATTATCCGTACATTGATCCAGATCAATTAAGACAGTATTACCCAAAGTCTCGGTCTGAGTTTATTATTACCATATCACTAGTGTTCCTCAGCGTTATTTGTATTACATATTTTATATTAACGTTGTATAGATGTATGTGTTCAAAAAAATATTCCAAGTGGAGGGCATCATGGAATAAAATACCGAAGAATTCCAGAGGGAATAGTTATTACAAACAGATCAAAGAGGCAGTTCCAATAATATTGAAAGGACATTTACAGGTATGTTAATTACAAAAAAATAAATTAATAAACAGTACGTTGTAAACAGTATTAACTTCTTATTTGTAATTTTTATAATTATTTGCGATTTAATTATACACCAATGATTATTTTTGTGAAATTAAATATATCTTGAGAAAATAGGAGCTCATGAAAGTTTCTTGTATACAGTATCTTATTAGAAGCCATAAAATTCATTAAGCTTTGTACCAATATCTAATACTTGCTTTATAATGTAGGAAATTGAATGTCTGATCATTGACGGCAGTGTTATAATAAGCTCATGTCTCGGGGGACAGCTACGTGTCTGGGACTCCATCACAGGAGAGTGTCTTCATACCATGCAGAGAAAATCGTGAGTACCATTTTAAGTATTGAAATAATTGATTTACCCCCTCTCAGTACCTGATATTTATAGAGAAACTTATATTGAAGACAAATTCTGTCCTGACAATGGGTTATTGCTCTATTTACAGATGCATTTTTAGCTCACCTGTCACAAAGGGTGAGCTTTTGTGATCGCTTTTCGTCCGGCGTCCGTCCGTCTGCGTCCGTCCGTCCGTCGTCCGTCCGTAAACTTTTACTTTAAATGACATCTCCTCATAAACCACTAAGCCAATTTCATCCAAACTTCACAGGAATGTTCCTTTGGTGGTCACCTTTAAAAATTGTTCAAAGAATTTAATTCCATGCAGAACTCTGGTTGCCATGGCAACCGAAAGAAAAAACTTTAAATATCTTCTTTTAAAAAACCATAAGAGCTAGAGCTTAGATATTTGGCATGAAACATCTTCTAGTTAGTGTCTACCAAGTTTCATCAAATAAAAGCCCTGGGGTCAAAATTGGCCCCGCCCCGGGGGGTCATTGATTTTCCCTATATGCATATAGTAAAAACTTAAAAAATTTTCTTTTAAAGAACCCAAAGAGCTAGAACTAAGATATTTAGCATGAAACATGTTCTAATGGGTGTCTACCAAGTTTGTTCAAATAAAAGCCCTGGGGTCAAAATTGGCCCCGCCCTGGGGGTCATTGATTTTCCCTATATGCATATAGTAAAAACTTAAAAAATCTTCTTTTAAAGAACCCAAAGAGCTAGAGCTAAGATATTTAGCATGAAACATGTTCTAATGGGTGTCTACCAAGTTTGTTCAAATAAAAGCCCTTGGGTCATTGGCCCCGCCCCCAGCAGGGGGGGGGGTCATTGATTTTCCCTATATGCATATAGTAAAAACTTAAAAAATCTTCTTTTAAAGAACCCAAAGAGCTAGAGCTAAGATATTTAGCATGAAACATGTTCTAATGGTGTCTACCAAGTTTGTTCAAATAAAAGCCCTTGGGTCAAAATTGGCCCCGCCCCCGGGGGGGGGGGGGGGGGGGTCATTGATTTTCCCTATATGCATATAGTAAAAACTTAAAAAATCTTCTTTTAAAGAACTCAAAGAGCTATGGCTAAGATATTGAGCATCAAACATGTTCTAATGGGTGTCTACCAAGTTTGTTCAAATAAAAGCCCTGGGGTCAAAATTGGCCCCGCCCCGGGGGGTCATTGATTTTCCTTATATGCATATAGTAAAAACTTAAAAAATCTTCTTTTAAAGAACTCAAAGAGCTATGGCTAAGATGTTTAGCATCAAACATGTTCTAATGGGTGTCTACCAAGTTTGTTCAAATAAAAGCCCTGGGGTCAAAATTGGCACTGCCCCGGGGGTCATTGATTTTCCTTATATGTGTATAGCAAAAACTTAAAAAATCTTCTTTGAAAAAACCAAAATAGCTAGAGTTAAGATATTAAGCATGAAACATCTTTTAGTGAGTGTCTACAAAGTTTGTCCAAATAAAAGACCTGGGGTCAAAATTGGCCCCGCTTCGGGGGTCATTGATTTTCTTTATATATGTATAGCAAAAACTTAAAATCTTCTTTGAAAAAACCCAAATAGCTAGAGTTTAGATATTAAGCATGAAACATCTTCTAGTAAGTGTCTACAAAGTTTGTTCAAATAAAAGCCCTGGGGTCAAAACTGGCCCGGCCCCAGGGGTGTCATTGTTTTTTAACTATATGTGTATAGTAAAAACTTTAAAAAAATCTTCTTTTTAAAAAGCCCAATGAGCTAGAGCTTAGATGTTTAGCATGAAACATCTTCTTATGGGTGTCTACCAAGTTTGTGCAAATAAAAAAGCCCTTGGGTTAAATTGGCCCTGCAACATTGGGGGGGGGGGGGGTTGGGGGGGGCCTATATACAGGTGAGCGACCTCAGGGCCATCATGGCCTCTTGTTGTGATGATAATGTTTAAATGTCTGAAATAATGCACGGAAGGGCACCTGAGGTCTTCCTCCACCAGTAAAGCTGGAACGTCGCGATATGACCTATACTGTGTTGATGTGACGTAAAACCCAAAACAAACAAACAAATGTTTAACGAATTTCTAAAATAGACAGTGAAATGGTTCTTTATCAATTTAAGTACATGTAATATCACGTCGAAAGTTAAGATTAAGTTGGCCAGCAGTATAAGTCTAGTAGAACTGCATGGATGTGCAGGCTGGCCTTGCCCTGTACTGGTGGCAAAGGTTAATTACTTTTGGTTCAGGCAGATTTATGGGATGTTAAATTTGCTAAATTTTAAGACCTATGAAGTATAATGGTTCTAAAAGTAGATGATCAGTAGTCTCGTGGTGCAATTTGAACAAGTTAAAATCTCAATCGTCAAAAATTTACCATACAATAAACATATCTTGCAGATATCTTATACTGTCAATTTTGAGATTACATCTGACTAATGTTATCATCATTTTTGGATTGTCAATTCATGTAACAAAAATTAAATATTTTGTACCTTTTATTCCAGGGCTACTCCACCAATGAGGCGGAAACCATGTGAAGGTCGCAATGTCAATGACAGTGAAGCTGATCTGTATGCAGAATACCATGGTAACAATGGAAACCAGTCAACATTTTCAGTTGGACTTGACCTTAGCAACAACTCAGATGATCAACCTAGACCCAGACTGCGTAGAATTTCTGGAAGAAGTGAAACTGAACAGAATGTGTCACAGTCTAAGGAAATATTTGAAGACTTCCCTGATTTGAAAAATACTATAGATTATAATTTTTCAAAAATGTATAGATATAAAAATTCAGATGTGAATGTAATACAAAGTGCCAAAACTGAATCAAAGGAGAATACTGTGGGTGAAGTAAATGAAAGTACAGGAAAGAAAGGTTATGATTTTCAACAGCAATTTGGTGAATTGTACAATGAGCACTCGAAATTTCTGGAAGAGAAAAGAATTCATGATGAAAACAAGAGACAGTACCTAGAACTTAGTCATGAATCTCGTGCTAGCAGGTCAAAAAGCTGGAGTGAAGGTCAGTATCTGAAAAACACCAATGATAAAATTGTTTCTATATGTAGTATTAAGAAACGTATAAACTAACAACTGAAAGAATCAAATTTTAATGCATTTTATCGTCAATCTACATATATTAATGCTTTCTTGCTTCTGATCTAAATGTCATTAAAATAGATGGCATTTCACTGTTTCAGTTAACTTAGTTGTCTGTAAATTAACATAAATGTGCTGCTTGTGTCATTTCCCATAAATGTTAATAAAGCATCTGTAACAACAAACAGTTTAAGTGTTCTGTCTGATATTAGATCATTCTTTTATAAAATAATTACATGGAATGTTTCTATTGTCATATTGTTTGTGATTAGAAGTAATACTTAGACAAAAAAGGTATCACCTATGTTTGAGTACAGAAAAGTAGGTTGTCCAGCAGGATGTGTGAGTTTTAACTTCCTCTAAACCTATGGGACAAGAAGATTTGTTTATTAATTGATTTGAAATAATTTGGTCAAAAGTCAAGGTTGCAGTGACACTGAGGCTGAATTTGCTTTCAGCTTGGCCAAAACTTCTGAATTTCATTGGGATTAAATAAAACTGCAACCAAGTTACTTTCTATTCAAATGATGACTTTAATTATTCCATTAGAGAGGAAATCATGATTGGAATGACATACTCCATATCTCAGTACATTTTCTGAGCTCAATTGATTTTTTTTCTTATAAATTATGTTCTTAATTTCAGGGGACCATACTCTGTCTGATACATCTATGAATGATTCCTCCAACCTAGAGTTAGCTCCCTCTCCTATATGGTGCCTGGCATGTAGAGGCAATGTTGTGATAGCAGGATGTGGGAATGGAAAAATTGAGGTACCAGTCTGTTCAGTCTCTTGATAAGGGTCATGAGCATATTTTCACTTCAGCATGTAGTTGTACATTTGTAATAGTTACTGTTATAGACACTTTCAAAATTGAAGCTGGGCATGCCTCTGAACATCTTAATATCCCTAAAATTGATTATAGACACTTCCAAAAAAAAGCTGGATATGCCTTTAAACATCTTAATATCCCTAAAATTGATTATAGACACTTCCAAAATGGAAGCTGAACAAGTCTGTTTAGAAATTCAGCATGTTAAAAGTCAAGTAAACATAGTTTTTACCACAGAATTCAGAAGAATTTTTTGTTAAAAACTCATTTATATTTGATATGTTTATTTGTGTTATTTAGTTTTGGGATTCTACCACTGGTGCCTTGAAATGCCTGTATGGAGAGAGTGACGTTGGGGTGACGGGCATTAATTTTATCGGCAAGAAAGTTATTGTGGCCAGACTGGATGGTTCCATAGATTTCCTAGAGCTTGAAACATTTCAGAATCCCAGAATATCAACTCCTTTATCACCTAGCAGTTTAAATAAAAAAATCAAAGGTAAGAATAGTCATCTTTTAATTTTTTCCTTTTTGTCCTTTTCTCTTTATTAAACTTATATTCACAATTTTGAAAGGTTTTCTTAAGTTCTTATTCACTACCTGCCCTGGCTTGGCCACTAAAAGGAAATTGATCGATCTCAAGTAGAAAACGTTTGAACAACTGCTTTTAACTTTCCTTGAATCACTATCCAAACTAGGGCCTATTGCCACAAGTCTGCTCGATTGATTTACTGTACAGTAGACAAAACAGTAAAAATACAATTTTAATTATAAACAAAAACATTTTCTTGTAATTGACCCCATTTATGAGGATGCTCATTTTTAAAGTTTGAACATTTTAACATTGATTATATTTGTAGGGCATTCTCGACATTTGAGTCATACCCGTACAGGAAGTGATGATTTAAGGTTATGGGATGAGGTTATACACTGTACACAGGTACAACATACCCAGGCTCATCACCGACCGATAACCGTTCTACTTACTGAGGGTGGTAGAATAGTGTCTGCTAGTCAGGATTTTACATTGAAGGTATGCTAAAATCTCATGAAAATTATTAATTAATACAGTTACACCATAAATAGTAAAAAAATAAGTAGTCAATTACAAATTCTTTAATTTCCCTTTTATATTTCAACATTTCCGCTGACCAGCTTTCTTCAGGGTACAGTTACATCATATTGATGTTAAAGAGTTATGCAAAAATTTATGTTATTTGGTTAATCTAGAACTTTCTGTTTTATTTATGTTGGAAATACGTATTTAAAAAAAAAAAGTGGTTTAATATAAAGAGCCATGGTTTATTGTTTAATTGGTCATAAATTTTGAGACTTATTTTTTAAGTGTCTAATTCTGTCTACTAGATTAAAACAAAACCTATTTCATATAATTATATTCTAAAAATGATTTTGAAATGGACCAATGGTAAGGCTTCATTGCTTACATGTACATTTGTTGTAAGTGGCATTGAGTATGAAAGTAAGAAGTATGTGAGTGAACTGATTATTAAGAAATATGTGTACCTTGTATTTTCAGGTATTTCGACTGGAAGATTACAGGTGTTTATATACCTTACACGGTCATACAGGTGCCATCACATGTTTATATCTAGATAAGGTAATAGTGCTGATAGCAAATTTGTATATAATTGTGTTTAAATTTTATTTCTGCCTTTTATAACATACCAGTATTAAAGATGCAAACTGTAAAGCAAACTGTAAAGTTATTACTAGCAAAATGTTATATAAATTGTGAAACTGTACAGTGATGTTTTTCATATTCTTATGGTGATATCTTGAGTGTGAGTTACTTCAAACATGAAATTTAGAATAATAAAAAAGCAATTATTATAGACAGACAAGAAGGGTTTGCCAATTGTGTTTCTCCACTGATACAGATAATTATCTTTGCTAATTGCTTTATAAATCGTGTTTATTTCACCAAACTTTAAATATACTATATTTGCAGTGTGCACCATACGCTGCTGTAAGTGGATCAGCTGATGGAACAATACGACTGTGGGATCTTCTCACAGGTCACTGTGTTCACAAGGTCATAGGTCATGAAGGTACGATAGTGGGTCTGACCTGTACTGACACTTACATCATCAGCTCGGGCCTCGATGATAAAATGTGTGTATGGGACAGGAAGCGGGGACAATTATTGTATTCCGTAGAGATGGAAACTTCATGTGGTAGCTCCATGTCCATGCTGTGTAAAAACTTCCTAGTCACTGGGGGACAGGTAACTTGATTAGATTTCTCTCATAAATTAAGGTTGTCAGTTGTACAGTGGTTAGTGTTTTCAACTAATAAAGATTTAATAAGGGCCATTAATTTCCTTTATTGGTTAGGAAAAGCTTTCATATTTGGACATAACATACATTTAAAGGAAATCTTCATTTTGCCAATGTCACCTTCAAGGTCAAATATGTTAAATTTAGTAATTTTCACCGTTATTTTCAATATATCCTGAGCCTTAGGACAGACATATTTACATTTGACAAACATTGTTAGTCAGATTTTGCTAGACTGAAAGAACTCGTGGTTTAAATTAAAAAAAATTTTTTTTATCTGACTGGATTGAGAATACATGTACATGTATTTTAACCCTTAGACTGCTGGTACCGACCAAAATCAGTTGGCATATTTCTGATTGATTTAGTATTTATTTTGAAATGAAGACTAAAATAATGGTTTTGTCAAGATTTAAAAACGGGACAGTCCATTTAAGATATTTAGCGGAGTAAGGGTTACATTATAAACTATTTTGGACATGTTATATTTCAGGGTTCACTGTATTTATGGGATGTTCATAAAGGGGAGCTTGTGCGTGTTGTAAATCTAGAACAGAGGGATCGTACTGCGTTTATTCACCATATACAGGCCATGGAGAATTCTACAATAATCTGTGATTACGGGAAAGATATTAAAGTTATACATTTTCCTTTGGTATTGGAGAAAAGAGACTAAAGACTTTGGCTATCAGTGATATGTTTTTATAATCAAAGTGGTTTTGTTTCCCTATTTAGATAGATCAGGTGGATTAGTCTGGTAATCAGTTCCGTCAGTTCCGTTCCCAAAAACAGAAAATGCCTACTTTTTATCATTATTATCAGTTTTTATTAACTGTCATTTTTGCCCCCTCCCCCACCCCAACTGTTTTTTCATAGGATTTTATAGCAAAAATGTTAATATTTTCATACATATTTCAAAGCTTTATGCCTCATGGATTTTCAAGTTTTGATTCAATTAAATAAATGTACTGTTAGTTAAAAAAGAATATATATATATAAATATTCACAACCTTAATGACTCTCTGCATGTTTCATGTAAAACATGACAGAATTTCTTCCTTGTAACTAATGTAGTAAGGTCTATTTCTCCATATTCAGTTGACATGTTATAGGTAATTTCTGTAGATGGAAAATACCTTAGGATAAATTAGATCATATTATTTATACACTTCTATTTGAATAATATTGTAATTTTCATAGAAAAATTAACATGAATCTGGTTGTACATGCATGTAACTAACAGGGAATAACCTTCAAACAACGTTTAATGTAAACCAAAGCTGAGAACACTTATGTCAAAACAATTTATTTAAAATCATAGAATATCACATTAATATCATGATTTGTGTTATACATAGGCAGCTGTTCATATAAGAAATTATTCAGGGCCAAAACACCAATTTTTGGGAAGGGGCCTCAGCCTTTTTCTTGGGAAAAAAATGCGTGATTTTGGCATACTTTGGGAAAGGGGTCTCAAATTCAACACAAACTTTTAACAAGTTCTTCAAAATAGACAAGCAAAAACTTCCAAAAAGCACTGGGAAATACAAATAAGGCAGTAAAAAACCTTAATTCGACACCATCATTTAATTTTTTCTAAATTCTACAGGAAATTTTAAAAGACTGGGGAAATTTCAGGACCAAACTGGGGAAAAAAAGTGGCTAGTTTGGTTGGGGAAGCAGCTTAAATTCGGCCTCTACAAAGAAGGGTTTTTTAGGCCCTGTTATTTCATCATTTTTTTTAACATTTCAAACCATTTTTCCATTGTTCTAAATTGGACCTTGCTGTTAATGTTACATATGCTGAGATTGAAATATTTAGTGAATAGCACACATTATACAGGTCCTGTCAAATAGCTTGAATATGCTGACTGCTTGTTTGAATATGCTGACTGGTTGCTTGAATTTGCTGACTGGTTACTTGAATATGCTGATTGGTTACTTGAATATGCTGACTGGTTGCTTGAATATGCTGACTGGTTGCTTGAATAATGCTGACTGGTTAATTGAATATGCTGATTGGTTACTTGAATATGCTGACTGGTTGCTTGAATATGCTGACTGGTCGATTCAATTTACTTTCTGGTGGTACATGTTTATGCTTTCCATGCCTTGGTCCAAATACATGTTTATAGAATATAAAATATTTTTCTTGATTGAATAAAATATATTTCTTTCAGCCTACACAATGCAAAATTTTATTTATATTTTCTTTATCCTTACTATATTGTGAGAATGCGATGTGTATATCATTTGTTTCATTTAATCATTGAAATACCAATACATTCTTTGATTTAACACAGAATTTACCTAGAAAAGTGTCTAGTGAAATACAGGTAGTATTATCACTGCCTGTTAATAGGCTTGACTGTGATTATACAAAACAACATCTTAAGAGCATGCACAACTACCTCTATATAGCAACCGTGTCATTTTGTCCTAAAGTGAAAACTTAACAATAAATTAAACTTCTCTTTGACAACACCTCTTAGCAACACATATACTTAGTTGTTGATATGCAGACATTGTACATGTTTTGTGGTCAAAAGGAGTAAAGTACAAATGTTTCCATTGACTCTTTTTCTAATATATCTTCAGTGCAGAATTATATATGATAATATTTATTTTATTTTCAATTTTACTTTTGTATTTTCCATTCATTATTTATGCCAAACCTTTTCCCCCACCATAATTATGTTATAACGGCTTTCCTGTTTTTGTAAGATATTGTATGTAGTTTTCATTATTTCCATGAAAAAAATTGTGATGTCAATTTAGTACACTGTTGTTTAAATGTATTTTTGTTACTTTAATATTTTTTTTAGTTTTCATACAAGTGAAATGTACTGATGGAGAGCTGTAAAATATTGAGCTGTCTGTCAACAATTTATTTGAATGATAGATTATGATGACTAAGTAATCTGCAGATAATGATTCTTTGTTAATTCACACATGAAAAGATGGTGTTAAAACACATGACTTTATTTTTAAGAAAAGAAATCATCAAAAATTTCAATATGGAGGTTAGAAATATAAACATTTAGTAAAGTGTGAATTAGCAATGTGAATTTATTATAAGAAGTTTGCCATGAATTTAGAGGTATATGTGTGACTTGTATTGAAATTATATTAATGAGAGTTACAGTATATTGCCAATTATGTATGTTTAAGACATAGAAACTTATTGTTTATGTGTATATATAAGATATTACAGAATTGTGTGTGAATATTTCTTTTCAAATACCACACTAAACTTATACATTTTCCATTCTAAGTGTTGATATTTTTTTTGCAATTTTTTAACTTTCTTCTGCTTATATATTGTTGTGTAAAATGAAAACAATGCAAGTTTGATATCATTTCCGTCCCCTTTTTATCCACTTGTACATCATTGATATTTATATGTTCAACCCCCACCCAAAATCCCTGCATATTTATTTGTATTCATGTTAAATACTAAATACATGTAATATATCCAAATTTATTAAAATGTAAGAATATAAAAATTGTTAAAAATTAATTTTTATTAAATTTTGTAGCCTAACTTTTTTGATACCTACATGTACAAGAGAAATAATTATTAAAAAAAACCAACAAAAACATGCAGGAAACATTAGAATTTTTAGCTCACCTGTCACAAAGTGACAGGGTGAGCTTTTGTGATCGCTTTTCGTCCGGCGTCCGTCCGGCGTCCATAAACTTTTGCTTTAAATGACATCTCCTCATAAACCACTGAGCCAATTTCATCCAAACTTCACAGGAATGTTCCTTTGGTGGTCACCTTTTAAAATTGTTCAAAGAATTTAATTCCATGCAGAACTCTGGTTGCCATGGCAACAGAAAGAAAAATCTTTAAATATCTTCTTTTAAACAACCCTAAGAGCTAGAGCTTAGATATTTGGCATGAAACATCTTCTAATGAGTGTCTACCAAGTTTGTTCAAATAAAAGCCCTGGGGTCAAAATTGGCCCTGCCCCGGGGGGTCATTGATTTTCCCTATATGCATATAGTAAAAACTTAAAAAATCTTCTTTTAAAGAACTGTAAGAGCTAGAGCTAAGATATTTGGCATGGAACATCTTCTAGTGAGTGTCTACCAAGTTTGTTCAAATAAAAGCCCTGGGGTCAAAATTGGCCCCGCCCCGTGGGGTCATTGATTTTCCCTATATGCATAAAGTAAAAACTTAAAAAATCTTCTTTTAAAGAACTGTAAGAGCTAGAGCTTAGATATTTGGCATGAAACATCTTCTAGTGAATGTCTACCAAGTTTGTTCAAATAAAAGCCCTGGGGTCAAAATTGGCCCCGCCCCAGGGGGTCATTGATTTTCCCTATATGCATAAAGTATAAACTTAAAAAATCTTCTTTTAAAGAACCCAAAGAGCTAGAGCTTAGATATTTGGCATGAAACATGTTCTAGTGAATGTCTACCAAGTTTGTTCAAATAAAAGCCCTGAGGTCAAAATTGGCCCCGCACTGGGGGGGTAATTGATTTTCCCTATATCCATATAGTAAAAACTTAAAAAATCTTCTTTTAAAGAACTGTAAGAGCTAGAGCTTAGATATTTGGCATGAAACATCTTCTATTGAATGTCTACCAAGTTTGTTCAAATAAAAGACCTGGGGTCCAAATTGGCCCCGCCCCAGGGGGTCATTGATTTTCCCTATATGCATAAAGTAAAAACTTAAAAAATCTTCTTTTAAAGAACTGTAAGAGCTAGAGCTAAGATATTTGGCATGAAACATCTTCTAGTGAATGTCTACCAAGTTTGTTCAAATAAAAGACCTGGGGTCCAAATTGGCCCCGCCCCAGGGGGTCATTGATTTTCCCTATATGCATATAGTAAAAACTTAAAAAATCTTCTTTTAAAGAATCGTAAGAGCTAGAGCTTAGATATTTGGCATGAAACATCTTCTAGTGAATGTCTACCAAGTTTGTTCAAATAAAAGCCCTGGGGTCAAAATTGGCCCGCCCCGTGGGGTCATTGATTTTCCCTATATGCATAAAGTAAAAACTTAAAAAATCTTCTTTTAAAGAACTGTAAGAGCTAGAGCTTAGATATTTGGCATGAAACATCTTCAAGTGAATGTCTACCAAGTTTGTTCAAATAAAAGCCCTGGGGTCAAAATTGGCCCCGCCCCAGGGGGTCATTGATTTTCCCTATATGCATAAAGTATAAACTTAAAAAATCTTCTTTTAAAGAACCCAAAGAGCTAGAGCTTAGATATTTGGCATGAAACATCTTTAAGTAAATATCTACAAAGTTTGTTCAAATAAAAGCCCAGGGGTCAAAACTGGCCCTGCCCGAGGGGTGTCATTGTTTTTAACTATATGTGTATAGTAAAAACTTAAAAAATCTTCTTTTAAAATACCCAATGAGCTAGAACTTAGATGTTTTGCATGAAACATCTTCTTATGGGTGTCTACCAAGTCTGTTCAAATAAACAAATAAAAGCCCTTGCGTAAAAATTGGCCGGGGGGGGGGGGGCTATATACAGGTGAGCAACCTCAGGGCCATCATGGCCCTCTTGTTTGTTAATAGCACTGTTTGTATAATACTGTAGTTTCTCCTTAACCTATGATACATTAAATGATAATTCAGATATAATGTCTAACTCATGAATTGTTACCTGATCATTAAATTTTCCAATAATTCTGTTAAGATTGCTCAACTCTTGTTACTGTATTTTCTAATGGTGTAAATAATTTCGTATCATTATTTATTTTTGTGCTGATTTTATAAATAAAAACAATGAGTGCTTCTAACATGTATATGTGTTCCATTATCAATGTTTATCCCTGTGAAGCGTTTCGTTAAGGTAGACTAACTGTAATGCTTTCCCGCCAAAAAAGTCTAACATCGACCAATAGCATAGCAAATCTCTAATTTCCAAAACGTTATTTTTAAAAATCTTTGGCATTAGATTATTTACAATCATCAATCCTTTATCGCTATGAACTAAATTCCGAAATGATCTGAGCTTAAATGCAATATAAATTCACTTCCTATCTGTAAAATTTGGTGACAATCTTTTCATGTAAATAACTTTTGATGAAATATGGGATAAATGCAACTGCCACACTGCTTTATCTACCAGCATATGAATGCTGGTAAAAGGGACATCACACAATAACAATGAAAGCAATATGGAAATACAATGTATGGGGAAAATATTTCCGTGTTCTGGAGACTGCTACTATTGTAACACATCCATTATCAGCTTTAAAACAAGTAGTTTAATTAATGATAAATTGGCCACCACTTTCTATACATGATGTGAAAGTTTCTAAAGTTTTTGACTATATTCTTAAGAATGGATGAAAACAAAAACTGTTTTTTAACGATTTTATTTTGATTTCAATCTTGAACAATTTAACTTTTTTGTATTTATCAAAAAAACAACAAATAATTGGTAAACAATTCATTTAAATAAAAACAAATAAAATCTCCTAAAACTTAAACATAAGAATATTAAGTACATATTGTAATATAAACATATAACTAAATATATTTACAAAGCTATTAACTTTTTTACACAATTTAATATTTTAAAGAAATATCCTGCTTTGAATATCAGACTGTCCATAAAACTCCGGACTGTCTATATAAGCAAGCAACTGTATTTACTAGACTTGCTCTTTACTGATAATTAAAGCTGACCATTTTTTCCTCTCAGGGGCACAATCTTAACATTATAATGCTAGTTTTAGAAATATATTTTTACAAGATGATTTGCATGTATTAATACATAGTATCAATTTTGAAACTGATTCTAGCTGGCAAAATCTGTGCTGTCTGTTCATAACCTGCACTGTTAACTAGGTACATATTTTGGATTTTTTTTTCTAAAGATAATGAATGGTTTTGTCGAAGCTGAAAGATGGACATGTCTGTTTAAGATTTTTAGTGTGGTAAGGGCAAACATCGACGTCATACCTGTCTTGTAAAAATGATATTGCTTATTGATTTATGGGTGAGGGACTCAACTTTATGACATTTACATGACAAACCCTGTGACAATTTTAACATGATTAACTGTATAACATGTTTCACTATACTAGTATAACTTTAGTTATCAATTCTCTACTCGAGGTCACTGATTTCATTAATATCATCCTCGAGAGCTTTCATCTCGTGTAGAATTTTCTCCTGAATGTCAGAAAGTCCGTCACCAGAGAAACTTCCACCAGGTACCTCCTGTACATCACAACCTAAAATATACACATTTATATCTACACTGTATAACTGTTAAACCCTTAACCTGCTGGAACAAAAAGTGATCAGCCTTTGCCAACAGTATAGAGCCAGGCCAGCCTGGACATCTGTGCAGTCTGACCAGACTCTATACTGTTTGTTGGCAGATAAATTTTTGTATTTAGATATTAAAGCCCCCCTTGAACTTGAATAGACTGTTTCAAATTCAAAGTAGGACAGATCTTTTATAGAAATATAGCAGGTAAAGGGGTAACCACTAAATCTAAGTAACTAACAGACTTGTCCTGACTTTACTTTCTTATTGTTCATTTTTCATTTACCTTGTAAGGTCATAATGCTAGAGATGATCAACAATATTATTCAAGCTGGACAGGAATTTTTGTATAGCTGGGTCCTGGTCAGAAAATAGAGTAATATAAAGTTAGACACTTCTGTCTTCAAAGTTAAAATAATGTTCCATGATATTCACCCAACCCCCATGCCTCAACACCAAATAAAATAATGAATAAATAGAAAATAAACAACAAGCATAATTAACACTCAGGTCTTTCAACAGAAATTGCTAGACACACTGCATACTGTATTTTGAAAAAACTGACTGCAACAACTATGAAAATAATTCAAGGAAAATTATTGTGAAACTTTGTATTTGTAAGTTTATATTACCAGTGGTAGAAGGGTGAAACTCTGAGGGGACTTTATGAGCCTCCTGACTCTGTGAGTCGGTTTTGTCATCATGGAATTTTAAACCTGAACATGTCTGTTTTGTCTTTACTGTAAATATTTACAACAGAAAATAATGGAAAATTTCTGCAAATAAATTACATTCAAATTTACAATGTACATATTTAGAATGGATGATACAAGCTCAGGCAAAGTTTTGCAGTACACTAATGATGCAATAAATTTTTTATACCAGGTTCTAAGTCATTTCTTAAATGTTGAAAGGCATTTTTTTTTTCACCATAATTTTTTTTTGTTAAAAAAAACTTATTTTCAAACATTAATTTATAAATGATTTTATGCATATCTGCAAGGAGCAAAAAGTAGTACAACAATGACTTAACTATAATTGTCTTTTTTTCCAAAAAAAAATGTCTTAAATTCACTCACAGAATTTTATTTTTAACTCTTTTTTTTATCACATAACTATGTACAAATGTACATGTGTTATAATATATACAGCATGACAAAATATTGCTTTTTGGACAATGTTAACTTTGGTCAATGTACTAGCAAGACCAGTATAAATATTATGATGATATTTTTCATAAGCAAAGATGTTGCCAAGAGACTTTCAGAATCACACATTTAGCTAAAACATGTTTATGAATTAAAGTTTATACAAATTCATGTTAGTTTGATTGTGTAGGGAGCTATAAGCTTATTGAAACACTCTGTAACCTGTTCCTGGACCAACCAGGACTTACCAATTAGTGTTAAGTTTCTTGCACAACGAAATAATGACTTGACCCTGATAGGGCATAAATTAGAATATGAATTTTTTAGTATTTGATACCTTTGTGTTGATCTTTTGGACTGTAATCCTCTTCTAGCTGATCTAAGATAGCCTCTATATCTTGACTTAATGATGAACCCTCTAAAATATTTTAAAAAATATATACCTTATTTATAATTCCTTTTATTAATGTACCTGCTCTTTATGTAATATTTAAAGTGCTCTAATCAGTAAATATGTTTAAATAGTGTCTAAAACTATACTAATATTTCAAAATTACACTTAAAACGAATTAAATTCAAATATGCATTAATATAATATATATGACAGTGCAGTGTAATTTGCTAAATTATTAATCTAATGAAAGAAATTGCTGCACGCCAAAGAAATAAACCACAGTGATCTTTAGTCTGGCATAGTTTACAACATCTGTGTTTTTATTGGTGAATTATATTAACATAAAGTCATTAAATTTCTGTATTTCTGCTCAACAGCTTGTTATAAATGTATAATTTATACTTATATAAGTAGTTGTAATATTAATTAATTCTAAATCAGTTCAATATGAAAAAAGTTACGCATCTGTCGATTGTAACTCCAGCCATCAACCACCCCTCTCCCAACCCTAGGGCAGTGAATGGAATGCCAGGAGAATGAGTTTTTCATTCTGATCACTCACAGCTCAACATTGCTGGCTCATTGCAGTGATTTTGTTGCCAAGATAGAAATAGGAATATCATATATAACACACAATATGGGAGCATTTAGCAAGACATATACCACCTGACTGTCACTGTAGGGCTGTGCCTTTACTAGGGACAGTGCAAATCCAAAAGTCTAAGTCCCGGCTTAATTCCCCTTGAGTAGGGGACTTACAGTTGGTTGGTGCATTACAAAAAGGTGGAAAAATCATATACTAACCATCTCGAAACAATAGTTCAGGCATTTCATTTGTCACTTCTTTCTCAGGAAGTACAGTTTTCTGTGATGTGTACTCTTCATGTTGAGTGGACTGCGGCTTTATGTTTTGTCGAGGTCTGCCAACAGGCATTTTTCTGCTCATGAATATGTATTTGTAGCTCTTGCCTGTGATATATAGCTCATATGGGTACAAATTGCTGTAAAAAGATAAGAAGTTTCATATCTATTTAATAAACAAAAAAAATAAATATTTGTTTCTACGTGTTATCATATTTTTGCCGCTAAACACCATATCGTTGTTTGCATGTTTTACCCATGTTCCGTTATGATGCTTATATCGATTCCGATAACTTTATTATGTTTTGCACTTATGAAGGCATATAGCTGAAATGTATGCAATAAATAATTACTGTATGTCCGTGTTTGTGTGGCTTCTTTGTTAATTACATCTACTTAATAGTTGATATTATATTTATCCTATGAAATTGTTCCATTTTTTTAAATTTGTTACTACTGTCCCAATTTCAAGATAGGTTGTCAAGTACAGATATATGTTTGAAACCATTTTGAAATGAAATCAATAGAGGTCATCTACATGCTAAGACTAATTCACCTGTAGTGTTCCAGTGCAAAAGCCCCATGGATTGTCCAGTTATTAGTTGGAAACCATTTTGAAATAAAAGGTCAATGTAACCTTGACCTTTGACCCAAAAAACAATAGGACTCATCTACTGGTCATGACCAATCTCCATACCAAGTTTGAATTTAGGCCTAGGCATTTTTAAGCTATTGATTGAAAACGGTTTGGTGTACAGACTGATCGACATGTACAAAGCAATATGCCTCCACTTCTTCAAAGGGGGGGCATAATGATATTTAACATACAACAGTATCAAAAGCTTTAATTTCAAAAGTTTTACATGAAAAGTAGCTTACTGCTCATAGTATTTTTTGGCATTTACTCCGTTTTTCACATGCTGTTGTTCCGTCAGTTCCTTATATATAGATGTCCATTGTTTCTTCTTGTTAACCTGTAAATCATGGTTCATAACATTTACTGTTATAGTTATTATATTCTATATTACAGGTGATTTTTTTAATGTCTGTTGTTTATTTACATGTTAAAAATAGAATTGTCTTATTTAATTACAAATTCTTCTAGAAATTTCAAGTCAATGCTTCCAGATAATGTAAGAAAATTTATAATACATTTGAAAATGATTAAACATTTGTTAAATTAATAAGGTTCTATGAATAAGCCTTGTTCTAGGTGACTAAGAGCAACACTGGATCTTGTCAAAAAAATAAAATCTGATAAAGGGAAATAACTCAAAAAGAAGCCATGATAGAGTTATTGCACTTGTACACTGCACTTCTCCAAATGTGCACCGTCAGTGTATAAAGTTTGAAGAAAATTGTTCAACACTTTTGGAGTTATGCTCTTCAAAAATTGGTATGCATGCATGAGATGTTTTCTGAAACCTCCTTTGCCTTTTGCAGCAGGAAGGGGTGGTGAGGGGGGTTGGTAGGCGGTAATTAATATACATTTAAAAAAGTGTCAAAGTTTGCTTCATTTATGCAAATTAATGACAGATGAAATAAATAAAGCGTTCTGATTCACATTTTCTTTCCAATGTAAATTTCTATCTCTATTTCAGTCACTAGATCATTAAAAATGTGTTTACCAGAAGGCCTTTTCAGAAGTTGTGTCTCCATTCTAAGAATAAATCATTAAATATCATCATCTTAGTTTTTTTATATAGATAATCATCTAATTGAAAATGCTGTATATATTACAAAGCGTCATTACTAGGGAAAAATATTTTCTAGTCTTACTTGTTCAAATCCGCCTCTCTCATGGACAGCCAGATAAAGCTGGAACAATCTGACGGGTACATTATGCCAGACTGGAGTATTTCTGATATTCTGTCCATTCCTTGACATAAACCTTCTTACATCATGCTCAAATGCTTTCTCATTCCTTCTGTACATCTATAGTAAATATATGTTCATGTATAATAAACAGACAACAATGTTTTAGTAATGTATTAGTCTTAACCAAGAGTCATGTAAAAAGTTATTCAAGGTTTTGGAGTTTTGTGCCAAATTGTAAGAGAATCTGATCACCAGTCATATGCAATTTACAGAACTCAGAGGCAATTACCTAACTAAGGTTCATGTGGGCATTGTACCAGTACTTCTGTAATAATCATGGGATTGCCAAGTTTAAGTTTAAGTTCCAGATCAACAAAGTAGAATTTGACTGTTATTGGACACACTGTTATAAATAAAACTTCTTTTAGAAGCATGGTCCTTTTCATTGTTTCAAACTTATATACCTATAACTGTAGTCTTTACTTTTACATAACAAAGCTCTCTACTCATGCCAAGCAGGGTTTTCTTTTTTATCTGAGGCAACAGATGCTCGAAAGGGTGATACTTTAATTATAATACAAGCTGAAAACACAACCGATTTTAACAGCATTTTAGCCGATGGTTTGGATTGCCAATAGGTTAATAATGAAAACCCTGGCCAAGATCGTCTAAGAGATAGAGATCTGGTTGAATCCTATTTCATCAGCATGAAATTTTGTACAGGAAGGTAATTATTATTAAAGCAGTCTTTATTCTATTTTCTTGCCTTACAGTTGTATCTCTGCACCAGTATTTGAAGATTACATGTCCCTCTACAGAGCTAGAGCATACCAAATCATCTCACCCAAAATATGGACTAACACCAATTTAAGTAAAACCTTAATTTTATTTTTCTTTGAGCTGAATTTATCAAAACATGGTGTGACCAGAATTTACTTACATCCAGATCAATGCTAAATTTTTCTTCTTTACTTTTGTCCTGCATTGTATTCAAGAACTTCAGTTGTGACTGGGAGAACTGGTCCGGGGAGTCAAAGATAGATGCTTCTGTCTTTACTGATTTAACTGGAAAAATAATTCTATTATAGTTACACATGTCAACGTAACAATGATGAGTACATATGCACATGAAAATTGTTTGTGCTTATGTTTTTACAATACATGTACATGCAATGAGGTTACAAATTTATTTTGCATAAAATAAAGATCAAAATTGTGCAGGAATATATTTCATCCAATGAAAACTTAATCATACAATGTATATCACATAATGTTATATCACATACACATGAATGGTTTTGATAAATTATATACAATAGCTATTAATTCTGCCTAAAGGCTTCCATGTAATTTTTTTTAGGTTCTACAAAGGATAATACCAGATAAATTTAAATATCATTTGAAATTTCTGTAAAAATTGCAAATCATGATTCCTTAATTGGCATTTTTAAAATTATCAACAGTATAGAATTACCACCCAGGTTCAAAGGTCTAAAAACCAGACAGTTGCAAAAGATGATAATGAAGATACTCAGAATTAAATAGATTTGAGTAATAAGTGTTTAGACACTCTCTTTTCATTTTTGGGTCATTTTGGCCAATAAAAATGGTTTTTATACTAAACAGAGGGAATGATATTTTGACTTGGAAATAAAGATTTACCAGATATGCCCTCATCTGGGGACATTGTCTCAGAGGTATAATCAAACACACTGGTGTTTTCTTTCCCTTTCTTCATCATTTTTCTTCCTCCAGATGTTAACTCTTCCACAGCCTTTTTCTTAGACTGTGTCTCTTTTATGTTAGACTGAGATTCAAATTTCTTAGAATGGTTACCCAGCACTTCATTTACTTTATGCTCAAATTTCTTTGATGTTGGCAGTACTGTTTCTTTTTCTTGGGAAGGGTGTTTCCTTTTTCTCCCTTTCTTTTTATGTTGAGAACATTTTTCACATGAGGCCTGCGATAATCTTTTCTCTCTCTTTTCTATAGGAAAAATAATTTTGAATGAAAATATTTGATAAAAATTGCCAAAAAGTACTGGTATGTTTTTTTATGATTGTAAGTTGTATAATTGATATAATAAGCCTACAATCAGATAGATTAAAATGTTAAAAACCAACATTTTGATGTCATTGCATGTCTCACTTTATTGGGAACAGGCCTACGCCTTTTGATTTTGGAAAAAATTATCGCAAAATTTGCTAATTAGCAAAGTAAAGAAGCTGGTTTAACTTCAGATTTTTAGGAAAACTAAGAAAATTCCCATTAAGAAGAAGCCTTTTATAGGCCTCTGTTATATAAAGTGAAAAAGTCAATGCATTGAAAAATTATGTTTTTGAACCAAACTAGTAATAGATGTCTATTTAAGGTAATAAATCATAAACATTTATATAATGAAAGTACAAACCTAATCTCTTTTTTCTCTCCGGATCAAACTGGAATACAGTATACTTCAATCTTTCCTCTGTCTCCAGCTCTAGCAGGAAATCAGCTTCTTTTATCACTGCTGCTATGTGCATTTTTCTATACGAGTTCCTCCTTTTACCACCAAACTGGTTGGTTAGTGCAACTTTCCTCTTTCTACCTGGACCCCTTTGAGATTTCTAGAAACATGTAAAATTGAGCCGCGTCATGACAAACCAACATAATGTGTTTGCGACCAGCATGGATCCAGACCAGCCTGCGCATCCGCGCAGTCTGATCAGGATCCATGCTGTTCGCTTACAGACCCTATAACAAGTAGAGAAACTGATAGCGAACAGCATGGATCCTGATCAGACTGTGTGGAGGCGCAGGCTGGTCTGGATCCATGCTGGTTGCAAACCCATTATGTTGGTTTTGTCGTGACACGGCTCAAATGAAGCAGTGTCTATTGTAAGATTGTAAATATGTCAAATGTATCGGAATTTCTCTTCTCGGAAAATAATTTTCTTAAAGGGAATTTTAACATTATATGAGTATAACCAAACTGGCACCTTTTGTCTGCATAAAGAATGAACAAAAAAATAAACTTTCATGTATTTCATAAATACAAATATTTGCTGCATTTTAGCACTCATTTAGAATAATATAATATGTTACAATTTGCACAAAAATGTCAACGTACATGTATTAAACTGAAACTGTACCAATAGATTACAAAACATGACTTTTCTATATTATTTCATATCATCTTCTACCTTTCTCCTCATATCTTCTATTTGTGTTTGAGATTCGTCCAGTTCAGGCACATTCTTGTGTCCATACATTTCGACAAATTTAGCTGCCACCCAGGAATGTGTATGCTGTTTGCCGAGAAACTCAACATGGTAACTATGGGGATCACCGTCGATGTCAATTAACATATGACATCCAACGTCCGGGTCTCTTGTCACTAAAGCTGGCCACCTAATGGTGAAAATTATAAACACTGTATCATAATGATATATTCTGACTGTACATTTATCCACGCCAATATGGTTTAAGTTATGTTGTTACTTTCTAATATTTACTTGTGGAGGTTGATCGTACAAGATGCCCCTCCCTGTAATTCATGTTAGGCATAAGTGGGTAACTGGTAAGAACTACTAACCTACTGTAAGACAGCGGGTGGTTAGATTTTAGAAGTGACATTGCTAAGATTAAACAATTTATTCAGATAAAAGAAGAAATTATCACTGTCTGAAGACTTAAATTAAAATATGAAGGCAAAAGTACTTTAAGTTTATCACTTTATCAAAACTGATGATTTTGTAATCAAAATCTAGACCATAAATAATTAATTGTATCATAGTTTGGGGACCTTTCTCAGGATTAAATCATATACATGCACAGTGCATTAACTGGAGTGCAGGTATTAGTTACCTGCCCCATAGATTGGTTCATTTTTGCTGGGGTTTACTTATTGTGACAGCAGAGAAAGGGAAAGCGATAGAAAAATCATATTTAGATGCTCGTTCATTAGTTACTTATTTTCTTGGGTTTCATATTGTGACAACAGGGAATTTCTTATTGTTTTTATGTTTGACTATGATACAAAAGAGAAAGAACATCAGAACACTCGGCAATCTGATAAATACTTAGGTGCTACGCCCTCTCATACAAATCAGATAGCCTTGTGTTTCCATGTTCTTTTTATTACATACCTAATATCTTCATTAATGTTGATACAATAAAATAAGAGAAAGTTTAGATGTTTTCTAATATCTGTCAATAAAAGAAAAGCAATTGGTCTTAATTTTTTTTTTTAAAAGTATACATTTCGTTTTCCCAAATTTTACAGTCTTGTTTCAAACATTTCTTCTGTGTGAGTGTTTTCTAAAATACCTACCTGCAATAACCAGCCATTTTTGCCCAGACCAATGACCCTACACTAAGCATTGACATCACAAACTTGATGCCGGCTTTTTTCGCCATTCTATCATACATGGCATGGTCTTCCTCCTCGGCTGAACATGTGTTTCTACTGGTATCTGAAGACATGTAGCAGTACCAAGGATCGGAGCTTAGTTCCTCGGCTTCTGGGGCTGGAATTCGACGCCATTTTTGACAGTCTGGATTGTCACACTGTACCCATACAAACTCTGTCAACTTTGAAAGAATTAAACAAGAACAACCTTTATGAAGATTGATGCTCAACCTAGCTCTTATCTTCCACAGACTTGTTAATATGCCATTATATAAAGTTGAACATAGTCATACCTTTGTGTTTTCATATTCTCGAGGTGAACAAAAATGTCAGAAGCAGGGAAAAACACAACACAAATTTTGTTGTGGTATTGCATTACATCTGCCAACAGACATGTCCTTGTTTTTACTTGACAACTATTTCATTTGCTTGTCATCTTGAAACTTTCTAAAATAGTGTAGATTCCCCTCTAAAATAGTGAAGATTCCTCCCCCTCCCTTACATTGAGCAAGCAATTCTACTTATTATTTTATTTTATTTTTTTTTAATTTTCATCAATTTATGTAAAATAGTGAAGATTTGAAAGGAACTCCACTTAGGTTTTTGACAAGATCGGGCTGGATATTTTTCTGAGTTTTGTATATCTATTGAAATAATTCTGGATCAGTATATTGGTTTGCAAATATTTAGGTCATACCTTCAATCCCTTTTTATCTTGAATAGATATCTAATTGTGCAAAATAAACCAAAAATGAAGTGATTTATTGGTTTTGATTCAATACCAGCCATGAATCACACAAAAAATTAATTTCTAATTTAATACTAAGTATATTTCCTTGTTACCCTTCTAATAAATTTTACATTTTAAGAGTTTACATGATATTTGTAAGATTTTTAAATTTTGTAATAAAGTTTTAAGGCTTTTGCACCACAGTGGAGTTCCTTTTACATGTTTCCTATATTTTCTATGATTTCTCACGCTTACCATGCTATAATTTCCCATTTAAAAGGACATGGGAACGTTGCAGAAAACACTTTTTAAAAAGTCATTCACTGACTGTTTTTATTAATCAATCTTTGAAGTGATATCATTTTCAATATACCTTTAATCATGAATGATGAAACATGAAAAACTCATTTTTAACACTAAAAACATAAATCTGAATTACACAGACTCCCAAATGATTATTACAAATATGGCAGGTTTGTAAAGCTTTCACTTAATACAGAAAAATAAGAAAAAAACATGTATAATTAAACTGCTACTGGAATTACTTTTAAGACCAAGTTAATTTAACAATACCTGCAATGTAATATCAATTTGTTCATCTATCAATGAGCCTTGGGATGTCTGACTGTCAAACAAATCTCTACTACCATCCTGACTCTCTTCTTCAGTAAACTCAGCCATTTTATCTTCCCTCGTTGACATGCCAATTTCTGTATTAGATTTGCATGTTAATTGTTGATCAACTGACTTCTTCCCACCAGACTGGCCTCTTGTTACTCTGTCACTTTCTAAACAAGGCTTATCTGGTAATTTATGTGACCTGTTTTTATTTTTTAGAAGTCTTTGCTGGTCATGATCTTTTATGAACTTAGTATCATTGGCTGTAGGAATTCTTGACATAGTTGTAACAATTGCATGTTCAGCCAGTTTATCAGCCTGGACTGGTGCTTCTGTATCTGTAGACTGGTTTGATGCTTCAAAACTAAATAATTTTTCTTTGCTATGACTAGACTGTGTTCCAGGTGAACTAATTCTTCCTGATCCAAAAATTGCCAACAGCAAGTCGTCACTCTCTGAATGTTATACATGTATTTTAATTATATATTTGTCTAATTTATGATAACTTTAAAAAAAGCCGAAATAAGAAAATTTATAACAAAGTAGTTTATTTCCAGATTCTAATTTGATTTACAGTTAAAGGTTTAGTATCAAACATTATCCAAGCTTGGCTTCAAATATAAATATATGAGAATAATAACAAATAATTTTTTAAAAACCCTGTCACACTAGACTGATTTTGCAGGGCATTGCTAGATTTAACAAAGCCCTTTGAGATGGAATTCGTTGGGCTCACACTGTGCTGAAATTGTAAAACTCCGTACACACACAGTATAAGCAAAGTAGAAATGCTGCACAAACTCTGTACAAGCGCCGTGTAAAACATGACATTCATTTGACAGTCTGTCTGCGGTTTTACTACAACTTGTTGCATTGTAGGAGATGCTAGTAGCTGGTTTGCTTTGGTGTTCTTAATGCGAACCCACTGCACTCTTATCAGAATGCCGAGTGACAGCCTTTGTTTTGAGTATACTCAAAAGGCACGCCATTATTCGGTGTTCTATGCGATGCCACTGCAATGCTTGCGATCTTACTGCGCTCACCTTTGTGTGCTGAATTTTCTTTGGATGCTGGAAAACACTGCCCTAGTGTGACAGGGGTTAATTTTTTTTTCTAAAGATCTGATAACTATATACACATGATATCATAATGTTATGTCTCACTACTTTTAAGCTAATAATTATATAAATGGTTAATTTGATTGCCTCTCAACTTCCTTGTTTGTTAGAAAATATAAAAAATACACAGAAAAAATATACATGAAAAACATATTGAGTTAAGTTAAGTTAATGAGACAATAAAGGCAAAATAATGCATTTTTCAACTAAATAGTTACAATAAAGATTTTTAAAAAAATATTTCTTACCCTCTTGTGAATTATAACATGCAGTCATCACTTATTTGATTGGAATTATTGAGCCAGGCAGTTTCTGTAACTATTTCTGAACCATGGACCCTTCTCAGTTGCTACTGGGAGATAGTGAAATGGGAGAAGCAACTTGAGTTATAAGTACTGCATAATCTTTTGCCCAATAAGATATCTGACAGCCTACAATATTTTGTCATGTTTATCATTGTGAATTTGTGACAGAGTAACTTTTATGTCAATAGAAAACAATTAAATGAATTAAAATATTAGTAATATAAATAAGCCAAATGGCTTAAAATTTTAATAGCCTTTACCAGTTTTGAAATGGTAAACATGTTTCTATAAAAAATTTATCAACTTGAAATTTTCTTGAAATTTATAAATCAATGTAAAAATGTTTGAACGCCACTGTGAGAGTGGCAAAATGAGCAGGTTTGACATTACCAATTCCTACAAAATGGTATATTTGGAAATATTTTGGTTTGGAATTGGAAGAAAAATGTCTGTTGGTAATGAATGTTAGTAAAAAAGAATATAAAAGTAATGGAAATGAGCATATTGAACAGGTTGAAAATAGAGAGGGTATTTTAAGGAGACGTATGTTCAATCCGGCTTACAGCCAAACTGAACTCGGGGCCAGACAAGTTTATGATATCAGGTGGTAAAGCATTCCAGTGGACTATTGTTCTTGGGAAAAATGAATATTTATTGTAATCAGTTTTAGTTTGGACTTGTTGGAATGCATGGGGATGGGATGTTCTTGATGATCTTGTAAGCGGGACAATATATTTTGGGAAATAGGTAGCCACCTGATAATGCAAGATGTTGTGAAACATTACCAGGCCTTGGTCAATACGCCTCCTAGCATAACCTTCTCTGGACGGACTCTGTCTGGTCAATGAGGGTTCCTGTGTAGGGGACCAGACGGTAGAGCTGTACTCGAGCTGGATCCTGAGAAGTGTCTTGTATGCAGTTGACTTTAACCTGTCTGAGTGAACCTTGATGTTTCGGCGTAGAAAACCAAGTGTTTGATCTGCCTTTGTTGAGATGTTGTTTATGTGTCTGCTCCATGTTAGATTTCATTTGATATTGTAATGCCAAGGTATTTTGCAGATGGAACTGTTTCTAATGTGGTGTTATGAAAAAGGTATTGTGTTGGAATGACTGTTTTTTGTTTTGTGATTTGGATAACCTGGCATTTTGATGGATTAAATTGCATGTCCCATTTTGTCTCCCATTGTTCAAGTTGGTGTAAGTTATGTTGCAGTAAGCTAGAATGAGAAGCAACAGTCAGAGATAGATAGATGGCTGTGTCATCAGCAAATAGGCGGACTTCAGAGCATTGGACATTAATGATAAGGACTGATGCCTATTTTGTTTAAAAAATACTTTATTGACTGTACACAGTAGTGGTTCAAGCCGGGGGATAGGGTCTGACCCCCCTGTAAGTTATTATGCTCTGACCCCCGTGTACGTTATTATGCTCCAGAGACGGTTATGTACAATACTGAAAGAAGTGTCTGTGCCTGTGGACAATCTAACCCTGGGCCTGGGACACTGGGAATTAAGGCTCCCACGTTTACAATTTTTTGTAAACGTTTACACGACTGCTAAGAACCGAAACGATACCGTTTAAACGGTGGTACCTCTATGTACTATACACACCATGTATTTGAGTCGCCAAATGATGTCTTTCTTTCTATTTTTAATACATGTACAAATAAAGAATGTGCAAGGCTCATCACGATTGAGTCAGCACACATTTTTTGCATTGTAACCCCATTTTTTTACCAAAAATGTATTATGTCACGAGCAATTTTGCACGGTAATGCTGTGTGGAGGGTTGTAAACACCCATTTTCCGTTTGTTTACTTTGGAATAAACCAATAGAATTGATAAAATCCATGATTACAGGCAATGATTAAGAAATTTTGTAAGGCAATATGGTCATTTCGATTAAACGGTAAACAATATCGTAAACGTTTATGAATGAAAATCGAAACGAATCCGTTTAAACGTGTAATCGTGGGGGCCTTACTGGGAATAGTCAATACAACTCTGGTATGACTGTCTTCGCAAAGCCAAAGCCTGTTTTTTTTATTTGATAGGGATCCTTTACTAGGGGACTTGGTTTCAAAAACCATTATAAGCTTAATAATGCAAGTTAAGGCAATGTCTAAAATGATTTTCATGACATGCAAAGACAAAACATCTTGAATTTGATATCAAAGATATTGATTCAATGAACTCGTTCTATAAAATAATTTTCAATTGTCTGGTTTAAATTTGATACATTTTGAATTTACGAATTTTTGCCACTTAAATGCTCAAATTTGCTTTTAAAAATACAAAGATACATGAAAGAGGATCAACTCAAACTTCAAATTTACCGCTTTTAAAAGGATTTAGCTCAATACAGGATTGGAGCAGTACCTCTAGACGCTTGCAGAAATCATGATCACAAAATAGACAAATATCGTTTTTTTCGCTGATTTTAACATTTTTCATGCATTATCAGACGTAAATCAGTGTGAAAAGATGAATTAGACCTAATAAAGTTCATTCCGTTGCGTAAAAAAGCAAGATTTTGGCATTTTACGATTCAAGCGCCTTGTCCGGTATATACCGGAATACGGTATTTAGTGTGGTGCTCCAATCCTTTATTTAGTCTCACTCCTTTTAAAATATTTTATCTCCCCTGTTTAATCTCTACGCCAACCAAATTTTAACAGCGTAAGTTATTAGCTCAGTATGTTTATGTGAAACATGTTAATTTTTGATGGAAATTTAATTATTATTTAATAAAATGTAAAGGTTTATTTATTTTAAATGTCTACTGCAAAGTTGACTAATGTTTTTTTTATTTGATATTTTGAGATTAACGTTAGAATAACTATCAGTAAAATTCGATCACGCACTTGATTTGTTTACAAAATTTTGGTCAAAAGCTCAATATTTTAATGTTTATAATGCTTTGTTGGCATGAAGATTAACATGTCAACAGTTTAGAAACTATCCGGATAAACTATTATTTCTGCAGGTATAACTTTCCACAAGGAAAATCATTTAAACTCTTCTGTTTTAGCAAATGAACTAAGTCTAAGACTTTCCTTTAGTTTTTGTTTCAACTGTTCAAATTATACACAGACACTGTCACAGTGGCAATGTCAGTGACAGTAGTTATCACTAAAACAGGTGGGCTGTAGATGTGTACACTGATCAATATGTTTTTCTTCAAACAAAGTATCTTTTTTTCTATAATGTGTTTGCTGATTATATTTACAGAACTGCCGCATAGTCCAACAAAGTGTTTTTTTTATAATTCAAAGGCAGATAAAAACTTAGTCTCAATATTTCAACTGCAGGACTGACCTCTTTTATAATCTGATAATATGAAAAAGGCCTCAAAGCGAGCCCAATTTACTTGTACCGTGAAATAGTATAAAATAATCGTTCATTTTTATTTAACATTTTCCGTTATAAAACTGTCAGTCTGTATTTTATACACAGCTTCCATTTATCATGATAAACTGATGACAGGAAAATTGGCAATATCCTGGACTACCTATGGGTAGTCCAACTAATTGTACATATGTACTCTTTTAATTATGGGCAGTATCTCCCATATACAAAGAAGCGTGATTCTTACCAGAACAAAATTATCCCAGAGTCTAGCTGTGGCATGTCATAATATTTTTACTAGATAGGTGTCTTGGCAGGTTATGATTTTATTCAGTAAAATACTACAAATCAGTGGCATTGCATCAATATTTAGAAAATACTTATTCTCAGTACATAAAATGACAGTATGAGAATGATCATCAAGACACAGACTACTGTTTCTAAGACAATTGTGACATCATCAAGTTATATGTGCAACTGTGACATGTATCAGACCTGTTGTCTTGATTAGATGTGAATTGCAGTCTATTGGCCAGTACCATAATCAAATTAGATTGATAATATACTAAACTGTTTTTTCCAATAAGTACTAATTTTTATAAGATGAAAAGTTTGATGAAAGCAATACAAACAGGTGGAGATATTTATAAAGATGATATTGAATTTCAAGTATTAACATTTTAAGATTTTACTGAACAAAAAAACCCAAAAAACAATGAAAATATTATAAATGTGTGATCTTCTTCTTTATGTTAATATGACAGTTGACTTTAATTTCCCAAACATTGTTTAGTAATTACATTTGTACATGTAAATAATTTCTGCGTCAGGATCAGTTGTGACGATTGTATGATCAAGTTATATTGAAAATTTGTTGTAAAAAAAACCTTGCTGCATGATGACTTGATGATGAGAAAGTTATGAATTTACAAAAAAATGATCTAAATAAGCCATTGTTACATGTAAATCAAAAAGGCTGCTTGATGATAAAACATTAGCAATGTCTTGTACTTCATTTCAATCTCACATTTCAAAAATTTATAGATTATGAAAGTGGATATCCTCCCAAGTCCACCCCTTTTGAAACAAGAAGTACATGTTACAGCTCCAATATCAAAACATGCCTGTAGATATGAATTAAGCCCACTTTTCAGTGTCTATTCTAGATGGGGGGATGGGGGGATTCACCCCTATTTTTGAGAATTTCCCCCCTTTTTTTTCAGAGGCAGTGGGGAAATTTTACATAGAGAAAAAAAATGAAAAAAAAATCAACAAATGTAATAAATTCTGACTTTTCGATAAACCCCCCCTGTTTTTCAAATCCTAGAATAGACACTGACTATTTGTACTTTTTTGACAGCTCATAGAGATCTAAGGTTAATTATGTTAATTAGGTTTAGTTTCCTCAAGAGTGACATCCTTGGAGTTAGATTCTTCAGGTGATATGCATCTAACAAAAATTGCTCCATTATTTAATCTTTATAAAACATCATGTTTGCCCTTTTTAAAGGAAAGAAAAAAATATTTCTGAGGCATAACGTGCCTTTAATAAAAACAAATCCTTTCGTTTAATTTTCAGCTGTAGTTAATGTACAACCATTGAAGTAAGCAGAAAAGCTTGACGAGATATGGCAATTAAAACTGTTAAACCATTAACCTACTGGAACGGTGATTTAAACCTTTTAAAATGTTATATAGAGCCAGGCCAGCCTGCAATATCAGTGTAGTGTGACCTGAGACTTTATATTGTTAATTGCTCAATATTTATATTGTTACTACATGTATTTGAAATCCCTTAAACCTTGAAAGGACTGTTTCAAATTCAAAGAAGGGCAAATCCAGTACATAAATTTAGCAGGTTTAGGGTTATTGCCTATAGTGCATTATATGTCATATCAAATGACACTGCTTAAAATTCAAAGGTAATCCAGTAAACTGCTATCAATTTCCACTGGTAATTAGGAAGGTAATCAACTTGTAACTTCAGTAATATATGGGCCATGGATATCAATTAAAATCTACTTAATCATTTGTCTAAATCAGATATTCCTCCCAAGTGCCATAAAAAAGTAACGCCTGTCATTGTATATCAAGTATTTACAAGCTTTTTGTACTGACAAAATAATATTTCTGCCATAATATTCAATTGAATTGTATTAAGAGCTTGTTAGGGCATTCAGATATCTGACATTATGGATTGATAGGACAGTTCAAAGGTGTAATAATATCTGATATTGTATGAACGAGAGCGTGCTTTAATTAACATTCATTCATGAAACCGTTGACATGAAAATGGTCTCTTTTTTTGTAAATTAAAGTTTTATTTGTCAAATTCATGAGCAGAATATCGTGTGTTACCAGTGAGAATTGAAAATGACTTTTGTGCACAAACCTTTAGGTTTTAGAATATGTGAGCAAATTGATTTTATCAACTAGGTCTGGTCCTGCTTGGTTTAAAATTCTTTTTGTGTGTCTGAGTAGTAGTAGTACCCTCCATTGCTGTTGGTTTGAAGCCCACAGTGACAACAGACACCAGACTATTTCATTTGAGGAATCTATACATCTGTCATGCAGAAGGTTGGTGTGGTTGTTCTACTTGGGTGCCTGCTTCTGCCTGAAATAATACAGTCTTACTTTGTCAATGAAACTGGAGAATCCTATTTGACAAATCTCTAATAACAAAGAAAATTATAGTATGAAATATAATTTTATATAAGTTTGTAAAACTAGAGTCCTCAAGTTGATCTCAATTAAGGGAAAGCATTGGATAAGAATTTCAGGGGTGGCTGGTTCAGGTCTCAGTTTATGCAAAATTTCTCTTGTAACATTTGATCTTAACCATATACTGTAAATATATTAATGAGTCTGATGGTCATTTATCTTTCATAGCTAATTTAATAATCATTGAAATCATTTGGTATTATGAACAAGTCGGTCTCTTGCGGAGAAATTTGTATTTACTTGTTAGTTATCCTGGAAAGTCTGATAGGTGGTTTGACCACCAAGATATGACCAAAAAATGTGTTAAAATGGGCAAACCAGAAAAACAAATAAAATTGTTACAAGAGATTTATTTAAAGCCCAACTTTAATGGAGAAAAAAAATTAGTAAAAGTAACCTACATTATATTGAACTATGGGTTTGATTTGCATAACAAGATACTTCAGATAAATGTTTGCATTTTTGAATGGTCCACAAACAAAGCTTGTTTAATTATTCTGTTTATTTCTTGTTTCAGATTTAAAATCTCTTGAGATGCAAATCTTACGTGACGATGTTTGGATAAGAGTATATATCGAGAGTTATAGTTAAGCCTTTATTCAGGTATACATATTGTTTTAAATATTTATAAAATTTAAATTATTCACTGTTCACAATTCAGGATTAAATACAGTTAACTTGAAGTTAATAAAGTACCCCTACAAGATTCAAGTTAAGCAAATCAATTATTTTTATTGACTTAGAAATGAAATATAAACTATATAACTAACAATTTGGATAAATCATGCCAGGCATCGAAACATATTTTCAGAGTCACTCGTCTTTCTGGACGAGTAGCTTCTAAATCCAATGTGCAGGCAACATTTTTTAATATCTCCTGCATCAAAATTAATTCTCTTAAATTCTACTAGTAATTAGGAGCGGACGAGTGGAATTTTCGATCTCTTCATGTGACCATTTTTGTACTTATTAGATATAGAGAGTTATGTTCAAAATATCAAAAGTTAATGGTGGCACATGAGTACCAATAATTGTGCTACCTAACTGCCATGTAATGGAGCTGTACTAACTTTGTTCTACCTTGAGGTGCCCACAAGATTGTGTTTTGAAATAATTCATGAAGGTGGGTGGGGGTACCTAGCAGTAAATCTGAATTTGGGAAGTTTGTATATGGCAATAATATTGTCCCTATAAATTTATTGTTAAATGTTCAAAGAGATTGAAGCTGGCTGAAGGCACTTCTAATCCACTGATGTGTTAAATTTTGCCAAATTGCACTTATTTTGATGGAGACAGGGTAGAAATAAGGTAAGAAAAAGTACATTTAGCCATAAAACATGTCAATATATTTGATTTCTTTAAAAAAATTAGTTGTTATTGTTAGGCCTGAAACTTTAATACTAAAAATAGAAAAAGCTTGTGCAAAGTGTGTATGTTCATAGGATGAAATCTTATTATTTTCCAATATAACATTTCGAAAAAAAATCAGCATTTTTTGGTCCTATTGTTTTGCGTGGAATATGATGCAGATTGATTTCAACTGCATGTGTGCACTTATATCACTTGACTTTTGCATATTTAATTTCCACTACCTGACAAAAATACTTCTGAAATACTATGCTAGCCAGGTAACTGATATTTGTCAGGATGTATAAGAATGAACATGTTGTATGGCTGTCATGCATACATGCCTGCCCGCCTTATTTTTTACAATGATTTATTTTCAACCCTCGACTTCGGTGCATTGTAACACGATACCCAGAAACGTGTCCCATGTCATGGCTTTATGATAATGTTATAGGCATGAAAATAATTTGTCTTCATTGGTCTACATTTAATGCAAAACAATCTTGTTCTTCTGATTATTTTTCTTGTCAAATTGTTTGATAGTGGTGCATTTTCTAAGGTCTCAAGATTTTTTTAAACTTTTTTTTTGTTTTTATTTTTTGCTGATATTTGATACTGTCATATTTTCAGGTCTGGTCTTAAAGTATAACGAAATTATTCAAAGCACTGAAATCCATTTATGTACTTTTTACACTTATTACCAGGCTAAATATCTTATTTGGATTTGTTCAGCTTCCTTTTTTTATACCCCCACCACAAAATGTGGGGGGGAGCTATAATGGATTCGCTTTGTTGCGTCGGTAGGTCCGTCCGTCTCCATTTTCGTGTTCGCTCTATAAATCCTATACCAATTGAAGGATTTTCTTCAAACTTGGCTCAAATATTCACCTGAACAAGGGGATGTGCAGAACCCATGTTGCCCATGTGTCAGCTCAAGGTCAAGGTCAAAATTGAAGGTCAAATATCAAACAATCTAATATTAGACAGTATGTCGTGTACGCACTGTAAGTTCTACACTAATTGAAAGATTTTCTACAATCTTGGCTTAAATGTTCACCTCAACAAGGTAATGTGCAGAACCCATGTCACCCTTTTGCCGGCTTAAGGTCAAGGTCACACTTGAAGGTCAAAAATTGACTCAGAAAATATTCTTAAATTTTAACATGTATTTGAATATTTCTTAAACTAGAAAAGGTATTTGCTTGAAACTTAAAATATATATGAAGTGTCACAATGAAGATATGCAGGTCAAGTTTCATAACTCTGTATTGCATTTTAACAAAGTTATGCCCCTTTTAAGACTTCAAATTTACATACAATCAAATATTAGACAATATGTCGTGTCCGCTCTATAAACCCTATTCTAATGGAAGAATTTTCTTCAAACTTTACTCAAATGTTCACCTCAACAAGGTTATGTGCAGAACCCATGTTACCTTTGTGCCGGCTTAAGGTCAAGGTCACACTTGAAGGTCAAAAATTGACTTAGAAAATGTTCTTAAATTTTAACATGTACTTGAATATTTCTAAAACTAGCACAGGTATTTGCTTGAAACTTAAAAGATGTATGAGATATCACAAATAAGATATGCAGGTCAAGTTTCATAACTCTGTATTGCATTTTGACAAAGTTATGCCCCTTTTTAAGTCTTTAAATTTACATACAATCAATACTAGGCAGTATGTTGTGTCCGCTCTATAAGTTATATACTAATGGAAGGATTTTCTTCAAACTTTACTCAAATGTTCACCCCAAGTGGGCAATGTGCAGAACCCATATTACCCTTGTGCCAGCTTAAGGTCAAGGCCGCACTTGAAGGTCAAAAATTGACTTAGAAAATCTTTAGTGCATTGGGAAAATGGAAGGTTTTTTGTAAATGTTTCGAACATGATTTGAATATATATATTTATACTATTACCTATACAATTTGTCCTTTTTTCACCAGAGATAATTTTTTTTATGTATATGTATTTGTGCCACTAAAGTTATTCCCTTAACCACCTTTCCAAGTCATCTTCTGTCAAGGACATTGGTGGGGGTATATCATTCAGCGATAGTTCTAGTTGATTCAGTTGGATAGTCCATTATCAATTTTAGGGAAATCAAGATGAAAATTATAAGTTGGTGGGCCTGGTTAGACTGTATGAATGTGCAGGCTGGCCTAGTGGCTCTATACTGGTAACAAAGGCTAATCACTTTAAGTTTCAGTAGAGTAATGGTGAGGTTACAAAGTTCCAGATTCAAAGCAAGAGAAATTTATATATAATCAATTTTTTAATTGTTTTGGATTAAACTTCATTGGTAAATTTGCAAAAGCAGGTGCTTTGTGTTTAATTTGAAAATGCAACATTGTTGTTTTTACACTTTGCATGGCAATGTCGGCAATTATCAATATGTTATTAACTGATAAGCCCTACAAATTTAATATTATTTTTATTTCTTTTTTCTTTCATATAGTACAGTAAGTTCATTTTGTGTGTGCGTGTGTGTTTAAAGTCATATGAGTTTAGGTTACACTAGGTTATTTTGTAGCAATGCTGCTTGCATGTAAACCTGCCAGAATTATGCATCCTGATTTAATCTTATTGGTCACGCTGCACATTCTGTCATATGATAGCCTGAGGTTTTGTTACAGTGATGACGCTAGTATGGTAATGCATGCTTCTGATGAACTCAGATCAAATTGTGTCAGAATTACCCATGATGCACTTGATAATATTGTTAGTTTTTTTACTAAGGCTTGTTTGTGTGGTGCTAATGACCTATTTTGACATTTATTTTTAAGACTGAGACAATTTTTATCATTATTTAAACTAGGAAGGAATTTTCTTTAAGTTTGAACACACAAATATTTTTTGGCAATCATTGTTTTCCAGCTTCACCCTATATAGGTTTATGGACTGAACAAAGTACAAAATTTTGACCAAATCAGTGCATTCAGAGGTGTACACTTAATTTCCTTAGTTTTGTAAATTAGACAGTGCAACCTGTTTACGCTGCTGAAGGTGTGCGGCTGGCTTGTCTTACCTTTCATTTGGAAAAGTCCATTGTTAATACTTGTTATACTATCAAAAAAATGTTCAAATTGAGCAATTTAACTACTACTTATAGTTTCTGAATCTTGTCCAGTAGGATAAAGTGTACAGGCTCTGTTACGTCTTTACCATTAGGGTAGACTTGATACTATAATTGCTATTTGCATTCAAAGAATGCTTGTATGATTGTGAACTAAGCTTCATTTAATAATCTTATAGACTTAAAACTTATGCTTAGCTCTCCCACTATAAATGTTTTGAATGTTTCTGAAATAATGTGTCATCACAGTGTTTTTTTCCCTGCTTTGGGAAAGGTGCTGGTACCGGACAGATTGGGAAAAAAGTCCTTCGGTTTGACTCAAAATTGAAATTTTACATAAGATGCAAAATATTCATGGGAAATTTCTTTTATTCAGGGAGGCATGAAAATTATGCGTGATATACCCTTTTAAACCATGTATTATTAACTTTAATTATTATTTTTGCTACTTGAGGTTTAGAAAAATAATGATAATCATTACAATTGTGCATAAATAATGTTTAGGTGTTAAACACTAAAAGTACGAAATGAACTGGGTACGTATATCACTCATGTGGTTATACTTGGTTTTATCCTATATCACTTATCAATGGCATTACTGTTTTTGTTTAAAGTTTTTACCTTTAAAGTTGCCGACTTTTGAGGAAATTTTCGGTGTTATTTTTGGAATTTATCAGTTATGAATTGGGAAATTTGCTGTCTATTTTCTATTGGAAATGGTGCCGTTTTCCGGTATTAGATATATAAGGGGAAAAAACACTGCATCAAAAGATATAGCAACACAATCATGTTCATATATTTACATGGAATCAAAGACGATTAATACATGTCTAACTCCCAAAAATACCAGTCTTTGTTAAGTTTTGCCACTTATGTCCTGCTGTTAATTTGAATTGTGGCAATTGTTTGTAAACATTGATCTAGAAAAATCATTATTATATCACAAAAAAAGCCTTACACTGCACTATAAGAAGCAATATATCACATTATTCATTTGGATCATGTTACTTTATTTAATAAGTGTGCTGAAGGGATTTACTTATTTTTGAAAAATAGCAAACCCATTAATGTACTTTATTCTTCCACCTCTTATTAAAGAGAGTGGAACAATTTTCAGAAAATTTTATGAAATATGATGATGTATAAACAGTGATTTTCACCTTACATATCGAGGGCTTACATGTACATGTATATAAATCCTTTTCCCAATGGAAATATTCTTTAAAATCGTGCAGTTTTCCCAAAAATTTGAACTTACACAACCCAAGCTAATTTACATCCCAGATTTGCAATTTTAAAGCAATATTTTTTTCTTAAAAATGAAAAGACTTGGGTCTCTTCCTAATTAACTGAGAAAAACCACTACCGGTAATAATATTTAAGATATAGGATAATAAACATTTAATTATGATATATAATTTCTTTATTAATGCCAAGATATATTACAAAATGTACCGTATTTGATAAGTTTGTACTTTTAAAATCACTAACAACCTAAATGTCCCCCCTCATCCAAGCTTTAGTGATGGATGAGGGGCAGTATTGGAATAAAGCCGGAGGCTGAGCATGTATAAATAGCATGTTATCCTAACGCATCGAGTCCACAACGCCGCTTCAACGAACCGTAAAAAACATGACCAAAACCATGCGCGCGACCATGTCAACCCCAGAAATCATAATTCAAAGCCCAAAAAATTTGTTGACGTACATAAAAAAAATAAACTGGGAGGGAAAAAGAAAAAACTTGTAGCACCCAAAAATGGGGGGTTTATACATGCTCAGCCTCCGGCTTTATTCCAATACTGCCCCTCATCCATCACTAAAGCTTGGATGAGGGGGGACAGTATTTTCATAAAGCCTCAGCTTTCACATGTATAAATAGCATCTTTAAAGATCGGCAACAAATATTTCCATGTCATTAGAAAAATGAAAAGACACATAACGCCAATCAAGAAACACAAATGTAATATCTGACAAATCCATAATATTTATATCAAACAAAATATAAAATTCATAATTCATCAAAAATAATAAATCCAAATTGCTACTTTGAGGAAAAAACAGCTGTAGAAAAAGACAGATCCTCATTTTCAATAATAGGTCTATAATAAAACTTGTAAAAGTTATTGTCCGATTTCCAACCAGCTGTATTCAAGATATTTTTAATTGAACATCTCTGACTTCTTGCTGCTGCCGATACCGAGGCCCCACGAAAAGAATGGGCCTTAAAAATGGCAACATCAATGCCTGACAATTGTAACACTGTCTTTAGCCATCTAGCAATAGTGCTTGATGTAACTGCATTAAATGTTACATATGAAATTAATAATTGATCAGATAGTCTCAACTGTTCCGTTACTTTGATATAATATAATAATGTATGATATACACACAAACTTTCTTTCCTAAAATGCTCAAATTTAACACAAAAATTATTTTCTTTTCCCACGACTGAAGTCTTCAATAGATTCGGGAAATAAAACACACAATAAGAATTATGTACCTTCATATAATTCAAATCAAGTGACATAATTGTCTGAGCTCTAGGAGCACATGCTAACGCTATAAGTGCCGTAACTTTTAAAGTTAAAAACTTTAAATTTAAAGTTTCTAAAGGATACCAAGTACTAAGCAATTTCAAAACTATTGTCACATCCCATGTGAACTTGTATCTCGGTAACGCCGGTTTTAAAATAAAAATCCCTCTCATAAAACGTTTAATCAAATTAGGTGAATCACACCAATCATTTCCTAACAATGACAGAGTCTGCAATAACATAGCCTTGTGAGAATTCAGCACCGAATATGACTTCTTGTCTAGATGCAAAAAATATAAAAACGATATTACCTCCATTTCAGTTGCTTTAAGGGGATTCTTACATTTCTGTGAACACCAAAACAGCCATCTTTTCCATGCCATGGAATACTGTTTACGAGTTCCTTGTTTCCAGGAACCAAGGATGATGGCAACAATTTCTGGAAGTAATCCTCTACCCTGGAGATATCTGCTGATAGTTGAAGAGCGACAAAAGTTGTAGAATGGACCATTGGACACACTGTACTGGAATCTTGAGGCATAATCATCAGATCCTTGTGACGCGGCAACCTAACAGGATCAGAAATTAGAAGATCTATAATAAGTGGAAACCAAAATTGTGTTCTCCACAAAGGGATAATCAATATAGCTTTTTTAACCTTATCATCTTTTAATTTATTGATAATTCTCCCAACCAAGTAGAATGGTGGAAACAAATAGGGCTTAAGGTTTGACCAAGGAAACGAAAAAGCATCATTTCTAAATGCCCCAGGCTGTGGAAACCATGACACAAACCTTGACAATTGACAGTTTAACCTAGACGCAAATAAATCGATGTCTGGAAAGAACATCTGTGAACAGATTCTATCAAAAATCTCCTTTTTTAACATCCATTCAGCAGACTCTGAACGAAAATGTTGAGAAAAATAATCAGCTTGTACATTCTCTGAACCTTTAAGATAATTAGCTGATAAAAATATAGACCTCTCTAAGCACCAATTCCAGATATCAATAGCTAAACTATCAAGACTGGGGGAAGACATTCCACCCATGTCATTTATGTATGCTACAGCTGTCACATTGTCTGAAAAAACCTGAAGATGACAACTTCTAAAACTATCATACAAGGCTTTAATTCCATTAAAAACAGCTAAAAGTTCTAAATAATTTATGGCAAAACTTTGTTCACAAATTAACCAACGACCATTAGCAACTGAACCTGATGAAACATCAACACAAGCCCAGCCAAGTTTACTAGCATCTGTTTGACACGTAAAGGAAATATTTTGAGGTCGTATTCGCTTACCATTCTTGAGACGTATATTTTCAAGCCACCAACGAATTTCAGATTTTGCACCTTCAGACAAAAACACTTTATTGTCAAAATTCATATTTTTACCTAATCCATTAATTTTACATCTTTCCATTTGTCTATAATGAAGAGGAGCTTCTAAAACTGCATGGAAGGCATTTATAACAGACCCTATAAATGAAGCAAGCTCTCTAACAATCACTAACTCACTGTGAATGAGATTATTAGCCTTTGAGAGTATTTTCTCAATCTTTTCCTCTGTCAAAAACACCATAAAAAGAACTGAATCCAAAAGATACCCAAAAAAGACAATTTTATGACTAGGTACCAAACTTGATTTTTTCTCATTAATAACATAGCCTAAAGACTGTAATGTGTCACAAATAATCTTTGCATTTTCTAGACACAAATCTCTATCACAGTTCATATTTAAAGAATCATCTATATAATAGGCACATCTGATGGCTTGAGAACGAAACCAGGCATAAATAGGTTTTAATAATTTGGTAAAGACTCTAGGTGCAGCACTATAACCAAATGGTAAACAAACAAAGGCATATAATGAATCTCTCCGATAAAATTTCAGAAATTTTTGGAACTCTGAATGAATGGGAATGGAAAAGTAAGCATCTTGTAAATCAACTGAACAAAAATAATCATTTTCTTGAACTAAGTCCAAAATTACTTTGAAATGCTCCTGTTTGAAATGTTCATAATGAACAAAATTATTTAACTCTTTGAGATTAATGATTGGTCTATATTTACCATTTGGCTTTTTCACTACAAAAATATTAGAAATAAATTGATCACTTTCCTCCACAGAAGGTGCAATAGCCCCTTTTTTAAGCAAATCTTCAACTTCAGAATCTATAATACTCATTTCTTCTATATTAAAATTGATTTCCTTTGGTAAAGAATATTGCACAGGATAAACATCAAATTCTAATGAATAACCCTGAACAGTACTCAATACCCAAGGGTCATTAGAAAACTTTTCCCATGCATGAATAAAGTATCTTAACTTACCTACCGAACTTATTTCTCCCCGTTTGGGGGTGCCGTCACAGTGGCGGACTTAAATGTTCCCTTCCTCATGGGAGCTCTCTGGGAATAACCACCCCGCACCTGTGGATAAGGTGTCATTCTTCCTCTGTTAAAATGCCTTGCTCTAGAAAAACGACCTCTGAAAGAATTCCTATTATACTGTGCGTTATAATCCTTTCCCAGATTAACCCCTACTTCACAATGCTTAATCTCTTTAGAAATATCGTCACCAAAAAGAGAGGTTGAAATAGGGACAGACATGTTACACAAATTTTTATACCTCTTGTTCAATGATGGACGAATCAAATATCTACGTCTGATACTAATGTTATACTGTGCTTGTCCAAGAATTGACAAAGAATCAGATAGTAACTGTTTAGCCTGTGGTTTAGCAGAAATAGAGGTAATCAAAATCTTAGCCAGCTTAATAATGGGCACCATACCAGCTGCTAACAACGACTGAATATCCTGAAATAGACGGTCATGAGACCGAGAACGTTTATCCATAACCTTCCAAATTTCCATGTTCACCATTGGAGGATTCAACTTCTCACAGTTAGCTGGTACAGGATATTTATCACAAAGTTCATCACTGTCACAAAGTGCGGTGCAGGCAGTTTTAATGAGTTTAGCTAAGGAGGAAGAAATTGCCTCACCTTTATTTCTCTGCTTAATTTTAGGCAGGCCCCAATCTTCATCATCACTAACATGGGACACATCGTCCTCTCCAAACATGGAATCAATCAGCCTTTTAGTCATATCTCGACTTCTAGCATGCCTTGCAGGTCTGTGGCCAATACTGTCATCGCTATCTAAAAAATCATTTTCATCTTCAATTTGCATATTAGGTGCTCGGGCCAAATCAACATACTCATTTTCCATATCACTTTGTTCCAAAGAAAAAGTGTTAGAATCCTGTGGAGCAGGAAGCCCCAATTTACTACGTAACAACTCTAAATCATCAGAGGATAATTTATTCAAATCAATCAAACTTTTATTAGCGTTCCTTGATTTTGTCCCCTTTTTATCACTAACAGAGGTCTTTGTTTTCTTAGATTTATCCACATTGGTCGATTTATTTACCAGTTTTCGCGACCTCTTGACCAACTTTTGACACTGAACTTTTAATTCTGCCAGGCCCTTTACCACGGCTCTTATTCTTAACGGGGACATCGTCCTCCGAAAATCCAGAAAACTCTGAACTCTCGTCAGAAAGATGTAACACATCTTCATTCTGAACAGATAAATTCCTATTTACCGAGACATCGTCTTCGGACTGGCTCATATTGAAAAAACAACAAAGTCTGGACAACGTCCTAGACAGAGCCAAAAATACTGTATAAGAAATAAAAATAACAAAAAATTTCACGTCAATTCACACACTTACCGACAAACAAAAGGCCGAGAGCTGTAAATACAAAACAAACCCTCAAAAACTGCATAAGAAAACGAAAGTAAGCGTAACACGTGTGGACTATTCAACGACGCCAGGAAAACTATGATTTCTGGGGTTGACATGGTCGCGCGCATGGTTTGGTCATGTTTTTTACGGTTCGTTGAAGCGGCGTTGTGGACTCGATGCGTTAGGATAACATGCTATTTATACATGTGAAAGCTGAGGCTTTATGAAAATACTGTAGGGGAGTTATACTAGAGAACGGGATTATGTTTCTAGTTCATGTCTTGAACCTGCGATCTCTGGTCTGAGAGATCAACCGTAAGAACTAGGGCAACATCACTGGTACCGGCATATTATAAATTGTGTTATTGGTGAAAAATGGACCTACATACCTTTGAGCTAAATTCGCTTTTTATTCAATTATAAAATAAAATGGGTAGGTAAAAAATTAATTGACAACACAAAAATAGTCTGACTTAATTGTTTGCCATTTATTCTTCTCAATTTTGAATTAATTAATTTTTTGTATTCAGTTAAATGAAGTAAACTAGAAATTCAACAAAATAACAATACCACCCGCCACCCTTTCAAACTGAGTCATTTTATTTATACAAAAATGCGTACTTGACAGACGAAAATGTAAATACAGAAAACAAAGGGCCATTATTCTGTCAAATGATTTTTGTACAATCATTCTATGTTTTCAGAAACAAATTATTTGCTGATAGAATTCCATTATAAATGGATTAATGGATAATAGTGTAATTGGGAATAGATATTTTAAAAATATTCATCAATTTTCTGAGGAGTGATGACCTAGTGGATAAGGTGTCCACGTCTCAAGCCAGGAATCATGTATTCGAGCCCTACTTGGGGTCACAACCATGTTTCTTCATATGACACCAGTACTATAGTTTAAGTACCAATGATAAATATAAGTTGCAAGAACTTGTTTCGCAATTGAGCTTAAATGAATATGTATAAATTAATCTTGTAGTATTTTATTGTGAAAGAGTGGGAAAGAAATTCATTATATTTAATTCAAATAAACATGACCTGGTAGGGTATAATTATTACCCTATTTGACCACGGACGAGTGGCGATTTATTTTGTAATAATGTTTAATTTGAAAATGTTGCGGTGAGATGTAAATATTTATAATTGTGTAGAAAATAAGCCATCCGTGTAATGTTGGGTTAGTGTAGGAATGTAAGCATTAAAAGTGGCTCGGGGAATAATATCATAATCGTAAATATTTCCTGTACCCGATATATATTGACAATTCAGCCATGATCTAATGACTCATTAAAAGGTACAAAAATTTCGTTTCCGCTCGCATTTTAATTTTTTTAGGCTTGTTAGGATAATGATTATATGTTTGAAATTTTTAGATTTTACTGAGTTTGTGTTATATTGAAAAGTGATTTAATTCAACATGATAATAAACTTTTTGTAAGAATGCATGCTGGAACTGTTTAATGAGGATATAAAACTATTGAAGCAAAAAAGGTAATTTTATGATTACTATTATTTTTTTCTGATTAATTATTGTAACAGATTTTATTTTCACATGTTCAGTAAAACATTGTTTGTAATTCAATGAAAATTAAAAAAGCTGTTCAGTGGCAATATTATTATTGAATATTTTAAGAAAAAGCAAGAATATATTAATTTGTTATTGCTTTTTTGTTGTTTTTTATGATTATTTTAAAAGCATCATACAGTGCTTGGTTTACATGATCAGGATTTTTTTTATTATACAATATTTAAAGAATTATGGGTTTGTATAATGGTTGACATTAACATGACCAGTTAGAGTATATATATATATATATATATTTTTGAATAGGAAAACATTTTATCTTAAGAAGTCAGGTAGGCATCAGTATGAGTGAGAGGTTTGGGTCAATGCTTACTTTCAATACTTGTCCTCGACATGTGTGAGTTTGAGTCCTGTCTGGCACATTGCATTTTTTTTTCATGTGAGGAAGCTACCTGCATTATCAAAGAAGGCTGGTGGTTCTAAATGGTTACCATCCTATGTCTAAAACACTGCTCAGAGAAGCAGTTAAGGTTTTCCTCCCTCCTGAGTATTGCTGAAAATTTTCCATGTTACCTATATATACAGTGTTGATTAATTTTATGATGAAACCAAAAATGGAGAGAAAAAATATTTATTGTAATAAATATAATATGATTAGTTTGTGAAATTATGATGCTTAACCAGTTACAGCATTCAAGAATAAGCATTTACCTAAATGTTCCAGGGTTCTATACAAAAACTAGATATGCTCTTGTTATAAAAGCTACTGTCAACTGACACAAAGTTGAAATACTGATTAAGTCTATGTTATAGGAAGGGTTGAAAAGCATTATTGTTTTTGACAACAGTTTAAAAATTGTATTAAGAAAAATTCATTAAATGAATATAAGAATTGGTACAGGGTTGAATATTATATATTTCAACAAGACTTAGTATAGATTGGCCTATTATATAAGAGGCCTGTGGTATAATACTATTTCATTGCTTATAAAAGAAAGAAAACTGATTTTGCTTTACTTGCTAGTTTCAGACTGGCTTGTCTCATATGTTTGGGTATTTGTTTCAGTAAGTATAAGCATAGTTTTAATTATTTACATCATAATATACTACAACAAATAAGTTATACAACAACCAGTATATTTTGATTCAGGGGCAATAAATTAAAATGAAAATTTCACTTTCAACATTTGTTGTAAGTTTTGTTCTCCAAAAATGTTATTCAGGAACTGTTCAAATTACGTTAAATTCCCCGGGACTTCTTTGATAAACTCTGCTTTTGATATATCGAAGAGAAAAAAGACACAACATTTTATGAAAATTTCATTTGAAGCACATAGTAACCTGAGTTTGATTAATATACAAGTAACGGAGAGCTTCTTTTCAGATTTCATGCGTAAATGTTTCTATATTTGGACATACATTAATATAAAGAAAGTAGTACATTTTATTTCTGTTTTAACCATCATATTTCATGTTATGATTGTCATGATGTTTGAGTAAATAATCATTGGTACAAGTTATATAAAAGAGAGGAGCATGAATTCATGGAAAATAACCCCACCCTACATTCATGCCACATAGGATCACTGGTATGGCCTTTCCATGCATTATTTCAGGCATAAATCGGCACCTGAGAAGAACCATTGACATTAAGCAAGCTAGCTGGATAGCTTCCTCACACGAAAAAATCCAAAGTCGCTGTCCGGATTCGAACTCACATCTGTGAGTGGCAGGTAGTTTGGGCACCAAATAAGAACAAGATTAATAAACTGACGTATTGAGAGAGTACCATAGACAGAGCAGTTAGCAAATAAACATTGATTTCCAAACCACTACAAAGACCGAACAACAAGTGGAGACTTTTAAAATAAGAAACTTTTAAAAATGTTACAATTTATAGACCAGAAATTTTACAAACAATTTATAGACCAGAAATTTTACAAAAACAAAGGAGAGAAAATTACATCGGAGTTAATTGAAGAAAAGAATGGAAGGAAATACATACAGTGGATAGTAACTCTTAAATATTGTTTCTTCTAAGTCAATGTGTAACAATTAGCAACATTCATCTTTTAATAATTTTATTTTGGCCATGTGCAAGATTTTTTTGTTAGTTCTGCTCTCGAAAATTAAATGAAAATTTATGTAATAACTATTTATTTACCTATAAATCTGCATATTTTTTATTACATCTTTGTTATTACAGGATACTCTTGTGATACTGTTAAATGCTGTAAATCTTTGCTGATATATTTTTTTAACTCTTATTTTTTTAAACTTTTTTTTTTTTGCGTGACATATGAAACATTCAGTTAAAAGCTGAATTATTGAAAATAGCATCTTCATTAATTTAAGATATTTATCTTTTTAACATGGTAGCTGATACGGGGGTCCATTTTAACAAATTATGTTTCTTATCAGGGCTCAAAATCTAACGCAATGTGCTATTTAATGTGACTTTTGGCGAGATTTTGACAATAATCGGGTGAAAGTGTGGAGATTGTATCGCAATGAAGTTGAAATTATTTAGACAGCGTCTTGCTTACTTTGATACTGTAAAATTGATGGTGAACCAACTCTTATGGTACCATCGTCGAAAAAATAGAGGAAATAAATAAAATAAAATAAAAATTGTTGTGACTTGGAGTATAAAAAATGCTCCCTTTGTTGCTAGCACATTTTTAGCGCCTCATTTTTGTGTCGCCTCTACGGAGTAGTGGCGACATATAGGGATCACTTCTCCGTCGTCTGTCTGTCCGTCTGTCTGTCTGTCCGTCTGTCCGTCCGTCCGTCACAAAACTTGTCCGGACTACTCCTCATAAACTACTTGTGCAATTTCATTTCCAAACTTTACAGGAATGATCAGTACCAAGTCTAGTTGTGCATATTGTCAGGATTTTCCGGTTCAATGATTTTTTGTCAGAGTTATGGCCCTTTAATAATTTTTTTTAATT